TACCTCTACTACCACTACTACCACTAGCAGCAGTACCAGTAGTACCTCGAGCAGCAGCAGCAGTACCAGTAGTACCTCGAGCAGCAGCAGCAGCAGTACCAGTAGTACCTCGAGCAGCAGCAGCAGCACCACCACCACCACCAGCAGCAGTAGTAGTACCACCTCGAGTAGCAGCAGCAGTAGTACCACAAGTAGCACCACAACCACCACGAGCAGTAGCACTTCAAGTAGCAGCACCACTACTACCACCAGCAGTACCTCAAGTAGCACTACTATGACCAGTGAGAGTACCACAGATATTATCCAGTCGACTGTGGCTGAAGATACAACACAATCTCCAGAAGGTATGTTGATTACAGTCATTCTTGATTAATGATTATTTTTATATAAACTGATTTCAACAGTACAAGACTCAACAATAATTCCAAGCACGACATTTATTACAACTTCTCAACAATTATATATCCATCGAAGTAATAAGATGAATAATTTAGAAAGTAGTGTATTGATTTTCTTTTCTAAATTAGGTTGTTATGCACCTACTATTACATTGATTCCAAGTCAATCAAGTTTAGCGTCTCCATTACAATTTCGACGAAGCCAAGATTTTTCTATTAGTTCGATCATTGGATTCAATTGTAATGGTTCACTTGCACGAGAAACTCAATGGACAGTTAAGAATTGCACTTCTTCTTCGTGTTTATCTCAATTTCAATTAAATGAAAAAGTGATAACAACATTAAGTGAATTTTATGCACCAGCAAAAACCTTTGCTTATGGTATCTATGAATTAACATTAACTGTGACAATGACTAAATCACCTAGTTTAAAATCGTCATCGTCAGCTTATGTGCGAATAACTCCAACAGGTATAACACCAAATCTTGTAGAATTAGGAACATCAATGGTAACTCGTGGACATCAACAAAATCTTTTACTTGATCCAGGAACATTTTCTGTTGATCCCGATGAAGATTCATTTAATGCTAGTGTAAGTTATTAATCATATGAATACATTATCGAATATTTGTTTACTTAAGAAATGGAAATATGAATATTATTGTCGAATTTATGGTGAGTCATACAATTTTCCCAATTTACAAGGTATATTATTGTCAATTGATGATCCAAGAGTTGATCCATTAGATCCATCGTGTTTATCAAGTCGATCAAGTAAAGTTTATGATTTTCATTTTGATCAATTTAATAATAATTTTAATTTCTTAAAAAAAGATAATGGAACACAGTTCATATTTGGAAATTTAACTTCATCACCAAAATCATCTTTAACAATCCTTGGTGGTTCACTTCAATCAAATCGAACATATCAGTTTATGGTGTATATGGAAAATCGTCAAAATTCTTCTCTTCAAGCAACTGGTTATGTACTTGTGACAGTTACAGACACTCAACCAGAATTGATTGCTGTTGGGTAAATTACATGTTTTCTTACTTTTCAGTCGAATAAAATGTTGAATATTTTTTTACTTAGTTGTGTTATAGGCGTAATGTGTGTACCAAATCAAGAATTTCAAGTTCTTAATCCAACAACACAAGTTGCTTTATTTACTGTTTGTGTTGATATTTGTCCAATTATTCTGAATATATCATGGAATATTTATCAAGGAGAACAAAATTCATCTTCTAATAGTACACAATGGGTTTTATTCAATGATATTATTTTATATGAAAATATTTGGTTTTTTGGTAAATAATTCTATAATAACTTTAGTCCATGCGTTGAATAGAAGAGAATGAAGCAATGGTAGAATTTTATATAAAGTTTAAGTCTTTAGAAGATTGTTCTGATACGAGTTCGGTTCGATATATTATCTTTATTATTTATTTTAGGTAAAACTACAAGTAATTTTACTGCAACAAATCAATTATTTCTTGATAATCCTACGATAAATTTTTGGCGATTTGAAGTTGTTTATACTTTTATTACTGAAACAAGTTCAAGTGCATTAAATTTTGTTATGAATCAATCTCCGACAAATGGTTCTTGTTCAATTAATCCTCAAAGTGGTTCAACAAGTACTTTATTTACAATTTCATGTCCATATTGGTTTGATGAAGATGGCATTCAAGATTATTCACTATTTGGTATTTACATTTTCTTCTAAAATTCTTAATTATTTTATATAAAATTATTTTAGTTTGGTCAAAAGATTCATCAGAAAAAATCTTCATTGCTTTTTCACCAGTACCAGATTTTCAAGTTCGATTACCATCCGGAGATAATCAAACATCATTACTTAATATTATGATTTATGTTCGAGATCTTCTTGATTGTGTCACACAAGTTAATATGTCTTCTATAAGTGTTATACAAAATTCAACAGAAATTTATAATTTAATTGTTAATTTACAAAGTTTTGAAAATGGAATAACTAATAATGAAATTGTTCAATTACTTTCTAGCGGAAATCAAAATATTGTTGGACAAGTTATTACTTCACTTTCACAACAATTAAATCAAATGAACAGTCAAAGTGTAGATAAAGCTATTTCAAGTAAATATTTTTAATTTATTTATTCGATCATTAATAATTAAAATAAACTTTTGTTTAGATGGAATTTCTGTTACAAGTATTTCAATATCATCATTAACAAGTGCAAAATTACAACAAGTAATCGAAAATTAAATAAATATTTTGATTTTAATTTTTTTATTCTTGTGAAATAGATTACAGTACCATTTAATGTATCAGCTCTAGTTGAATGTGAAAAAGATTTAAATAATCAAGCAAATGTTCGAGATTATATAATAACATTTATAACTGATCTTGCAATTACAACATCAAATAGTATTATATTACAAGCAACATCATTAGTTCAATTAACTCAATCTACAAATCAATTAACACGTGCAGCTCTAGTAAATTTTATTTTTTTATTGTATTCATTTCTCAAAAATTCTATTTATATAAAAACATTAGATGTTAATATCAGATCGATGTTATCAATTAACTGTTGCTTTACAATCGATGTCAACACGAATTTCTTATGAAAATGCTCAAATGGCATCAACTCAACTTATACAATGTGCTTCAAATATTTTAACAGTATGATATTTTCTATAAAGATTAAAAAATTTTTTAATCATAAATTTAGGCTGTTAATGGACCATTACAAGAAAGAACAATTGTACTTGATTTAGATTCATTACGTGCAAATACATTACCAACTGATTATGATACTGATCTGGAATCCGATTGGTCAAATCCAAGTAAGATTTTTAAATGAATAAAGACATTTACTGTCTTAAATCTAACCAAAGTAAATGAAAATTCAAATTTCTGAGTCTATAGTTTAACCATTCTATGCTAAATCTTACTGTACGATGATATTTGGTTCGTAAGAAAGAGAGAGAGAAAAGTTAATTTATTATTTGAATATAGATTTATTTGCTGATGGAAATGATTTTTCGAGTGCAACAATTGATAAAAATCGAAATATTTATTATCAGAAACAATTAGCAAATGAAATAACAAATACAACAAATAAAATAATTTCATTATTAACATCTTCATTAAATATTCAATTAAATATTGGTCAAAATTCAACAATAAATACATCTCAAACATTTATGTCATTAGCAACAATATCAATTAATTCTCTTTCAAATAAACAAATTCAACAAATAGATAATGCACAATTTAATATTCCATCTAATATTAATATTAATATAACTAATAATTCAGCAATATCAATTCGAGTAAATTTAATAATTTATTTTTCTTATGCGATTTGACACTTATTTATTTTTTTAGTCCATAATGAATACACTTGCTTCATCTGATAAATCTCAATCCAATACAAATCTTTCAAGATTAATTTCACTTTCAATTCTTGATCAATATGGAAATCAACTTTCTTTCGAAACAAATTCAAATGAAACAATTCAATTAATTATACCACGTGATCAAAATCTTCTTATTCCTAATATGATTTTACAAAATGTTACTTCAACTAATACAACTCTTCAAAATCAATTATTTTATCTAAGTTATATTGATATTACAAATCAACTTTCGATTTCAGTCCATTTTGAAATTTCTCCATTAAATATAAATCTTGCTTATTTATTTATTTATAAATTTGATCAAACACCATTATTAAATAGTTCAATTAATTTCATTGATGGATGGACATTATTTTGTCCTTCAAGTAAGTTTTTTATTTTAAATAATCGAATTTCTTTTCTTCTTTTAATTATAGATTTAACAAATGAAACTATTTATAAATATTTTATTAATAATCAACAAACATCTGGACATCAATCATTAATATTTGGTTTAAGAGAATTAAATTCAACAGAAATTATTGATTATTGTTCAAATAATAATAATACTAATAATGATCTTCCGATTACAGATGAAAAATTTAATTTTACATCAAATTATCAACTTCGTATATATACATCTGGTTGTTATTATCTTGATCAAAATAATCAATATAAATCAGATGGATTAATTGTAAGTTAACTCGAAATTCGATAGAGTATAATAGCTTTAAGGAATATATTTATTTAAGGTTGGACCATTAACAAATCATTATGAAACAGAATGTTTATCAACTCATTTAACATCATTTGCTGGCGGTTTTATTGTTTTACCAGAACCAATTAATTGGAGTTATGTTTTTGCCAATGCTGGTTTTATGAAAAATAAAACAATTTATTTAACAATTATTTGTATGTCTATTGCTTATATTATTTTGATGATTTTTGGACGTTATAAAGATAGAAAAGATATTGAAAAATTAGGAGTAACACCATTACCTGATAATGATAAATCTGATCAGTATTATTATCAAATTATTGTTTTTACTGGTCAACGAGCAAATTCTGGAACACAATCAAAAGTAAAAAAGATGAATTTTGTTTTGTAAATACATCTTCATTTGATTAGGTTCATTTTATTCTCTCGAGTGATAATGATGAAACAAGTGTTCGAACATTTTCAGATCCTCATCGAAAAATATTTCAACGTGGTGGAATTGATTCATTTATTATGAGTGTTCCAAAGTAAATTCATTTAACATTTAAAATATATTTCCGTGTTGTTTTTAAAGATCATTAGGATTATTAAATTATATTCGTATTTGGCACGATAATTCAGGAGAAGGTTCATCAGCATCATGGTTTTTAAAATATATTATTGTCAGAGATTTACAAACAATGGAAAAATTTTATTTTATTGCTCAACGTTGGTTTTCAGTTGAACAAGGAGATGGACTTGTAAGTTTTATTTTCATTTCTTAATTTCTCTCATTCTTTAAATTTAGATTGAACGGATTTTACCTATTGCTGGTGAAATGGAAAAACAAAATTTTTCTTATGTATTATCAAAAAAAGCTTATTTTAGTATATCCGATGGTCATTTATGGTTTTCCATTTTCTCTCGACCACCATCAAATAAATTTACACGTGTTCAACGTTGTACTTGTTGTTTTGTTTTATTATTTGCTTCAATGTTACTTAATATAATGTATTATGATTTATCGGCTGAAGCAAAATCGACAAATAATACAGAAAGTAATGGTCTATCGATTGGTCCTCTTTATATTGCACCAGAACAAGTATGTATATTTCATAAAATAATCATTTTATTGAAAAGATTGTGATTTATTTAAGATTGGAATTGGTATAATGGTTGAATTATTCTCGTTAGTTCCAAGTATTTTCATAGTTCAATTCTTTCGACGTATTCGACCTCGTCGACAAATTTCACCATTACGTCAAGCATTGGAGAAAATAAGATCATTACCACACACGTTAGTATAACTTAATATATTGTCTTTAATTTAATCATTTTATATTTTTAGTGATTCAAAAGATAAAAATAAAATTAAAAATAAAAAAAGTCAATTTACATTTCCTTGGTGGTGTTTATTTATTGCTTATACATTTTCTTTTATGATAATTGCTGTTTCAATGTTTTTTATTATTGTTAAAGGAATTATATTTGGTGATTTAAAAACTCAACAATGGTTAACATCTGTTTTTACTGGCTTTTTCTCATCAATTATTCTTACTCAACCAATTAAAGTATATATATTGAAATATTTTATTTACTTCAATGAATTTTCTTTTTTAAAGATTTTAGGTTTGGCAGTATTTTTTACTCTGTTTTGTCGAAATCCAAACGATGATAAAGAAGCAAAAGAATATATAGATGAGACTAATTTTGAATTAGATGGTGATGAAGATTATCTTCATTCGAATGATTTTTCATTGATTTCAAATTCTTCAAAACGTATTACTCGTCTAAATGAAAATGAAGTAGCTTTTCTTCGTGAACAACGTTTAAAAGAACTTCAAATGTGGTCAATTATTCGAGAATTTATAATTTATGCCATATTTTTAATATTATTGTTTATAATAACTTTTTTAAATCGTACACAAAATAGTTTTAATCAAACTGATCATTTACAAAAATATTTTTTAAATACAAGACAAACAGATTGTGATTATACACAAGTATACTTTGTTTGCTTTTGTTCTATATATATATGACAATGAATATTTTTAGATTTTAACAATTGATGATTATTGGAATTGGTTAAATAATAGTTTTATTTCAAATCTTCGTGCTCAACAATGGTATAATGATGATCAACCAGTAAATTTGAATGGATATATAAATGATAAAACAAATCGAATGATTGGTTGGGCAACAATGAGACAATTACGTAGTAAATCACAATTATGTTCTGATCAACGTATAATGCCAACATGTATTGATGATTATAGTTTATTTAATGAAGAAAAAGATTCATTTCAACCAGGATGGACACTCAATCAAACATTAATAGAAGAAGAAGATTATAGTTCATCGATCTTAAAAGCATTTCAATATGAATCAAGTAAAGAATTAGATACATATGCTTATGTAGGTGATTATGGAACATATAGTGGAGATGGTTATGTCTATGAATTTCGTGGTCGTTTATCTGATATTAAAAGTAATTTATCTTTACTTCATCAATTACAATGGATTGATTCAAAGACAAGAGCTGTTATTATTCAATTAACTTTATATAATCCAAATGTTGCATTATATACTTCAGTTACTTTTCTTCTAGAATTTTTATCTGCAAGTGGAATTTCTCCGTCAGCTCGTTTTGAACCACTTAATTTCTATGGTAAGAGATTTTTTCTAAACTACTGACTTTACATTGACAATTTGCTTCTTTTAATTTAGTATTTACATCATTAACACAATTGATTTGTACAATTATTTATATAGGTTTCATTATTTATTTTCTTATTATTGAAATTAAATTAATAATGAAACTGAATTTGAAATATTTTTATGAATTTTGGTCAATAATTCAAGTTGGTATAATAAGTTGTTCAATAACAAGTATTATTATTTATATTTGGCGTTTTAAAGAATATAATCGTTTAAGTTCACTTTTTCAACAAACAAATGGATATGTTTATGTTAATTTACAAATGACAGTTTATGTTGATGATGTTTTAACATCGCTTCTTGGTTTTTGTTGTTTTTTTGGAACAATTAAATTTATTAAATTTATTCGATTTAATAAATCATTAATAATATTTGTTCAAACACTTAAATATGTTACAAAAGACATTATTTCATTTTCATTTATGTTTTCAATTGTATTTATGTCTTTTCTTGGATTATTTTATTTATTATTTAATTCAAGTATTGCATCATGTTCAAGTTTATTATCAACAGCTCAAATGTTATTTGAAATAACATTAATGAGTTTTGATGCAACTGATTTTACTGGAGCTGATCCATTTCTTGGTCCATTTTGTTTTTCACTCTTTATTATTATTGTTGTTTTTATATGTTTAAGTATGTTTATGTCAATACTTAATGATGGTTTTCATCATGTTGAAGAAACTCCAATTGAAGATCAACACATTTTATCATATATGTTAAAGAAATTTTTAAATTGGACACGTAAAAATATTTAAATAAATTTCAATAAAAATTCTTTATTGATATTTTAGATTTGAGAAGACCAAATGTCGAAGAAACTTATGAAATACGAGACTCACGAATGCATTCTCAATATATTGATCCAATTGAAAATTTTCCTGATAAAATCGATCAATTGTTAGAAGCAATCGACCGAGTATATTTAAATTGAATAATTTATTTTCATTTAAAAATTATTTATTTCTCTTTTGTTTTAGATTTATATTAATCAAAGAAAAGAATTATTAAAATTAAAAAGAGCTGGTGTTTAACTGTTGTTTTGCAATTATGATCATCGGAAAATAATTCATATCAATACACTAAACTTTATAGTTTCATTGTAAAGCTTTTTGTGGGTGCGTGTGTTTCTAAATATTTTATATGCTTATATGATTTTTCCTTAAATAAATTCAACAAAAATAATTCTTGAAGATTAACCATGTGGGGTTAGTGCGGATGTGAATATTAGATTAATTACTCGCACGCACGCCGTCAAGATTTTATTGAATAGTATTTGATGAAGATTCATTCTGAAGATCAACAACTATACTTTTCTAATGATTTATCTAATGTGTGAAATAAGGATAAAATCAATTGTGTAATATATTTTCTCTTTCAACTGAATACAAAATAAAAAAACATTTTGTTGTCAAAAAATTCTATTTTATTGCTCAGGAAGTGTTGTATTTCCTTCGTAAAGGCATGATTTGCGCTGTATTATTAATATTAATAACATTAGATTTTCTTTGAAACACTTTGTTTTCACATCTTTTCTACAAAATTTCAATATTATGAATATTTTTTTATATTTACAACAAATAATAACTACATGACATTGCATATCAGTTTCGAAAAAGGAAACGAATTCATTGTTTTTCTTTAGTGTTAAATTCAAATGTTGTATTTGTTGCGAATATTTCAAAAAAAAGTAGATTCCTATTGACGTCATGATATAGGCGAATAGAAAAATAAACTTTTTGTTTTCCTGATGTTCAGTTTTCAGTAAAAAATTGATGAGTTCTTTTATCATTCAAGTCAATTCTCATATTTGATTATTGAAGAATGTAACTAAAACGAAACAACTTGTTTTTATTCCACTCAATAGAAGACAAATATCAATAAGAGATAAAGATTTATGAATAGTAACATTCGAGAAGATTATTTTTTCATAATAATAATAACTATTAGAAATTAAATGAAATTCTTGTCAGTTTTATTTATTTCATAGTTTTCTTATTATATTTAGTGGAACCATCAACTATGTTCGACATTCTTTAAATTATTCAATACTAAAAAAAGGATTTTCAAATGAATTTTTTTGCTTTATTTCTATACATTTGTTACATTTAAAATAAAGGTAATAATGAGTGAATCATTCTAATGCTCGCTGTATATAATCGTCTTTATACAAAATATTTATGAAAAAAACATGATATGTTGATGACAAAAATACCATCACTCTCTTTTTTTCAGATCAGTTTTGGATAAAATATTATTTATTGTAAATATAGAACTCTACGAGGTAACATGTGAAATAAAATTAGTTCAAATAACAGTTAATATAATTATTTCTATGAAAAAAAAACATTGAAAATCAGCACTTTTGAAGGAAATGCAAAGTTTCCTGAAAGAAAAGAATGTATTTGAATAAAATATTTTATTATTTTTTATTCATTCATTTCAAAGTCTATAGAGTTAAGCTATAACTACGTTGTTCATCATCAAATTATTATCGATAAAATACTTCATTAATAGATTAAAATGAGTATAAAATATTTTGATAATATATAAAAAGAGATGAGAACGAAAATAAATTAACATTAGGATAAGAGCAATATATTTATCTGTCATATTGTCATTTTAATATTTATTCTGAGAGAAAACAGTGGACTTCAAGGTTTCATGATATTGTACAAGGCTTGACGATTGATATAATTGCTGTTTCTTTTATATTTACTTTCTCTAGATAAATATTCAATCACAAATTAAGAAATATATGTGATATTTTGTTTCTTCGATGAGAAAAGTGATTAAAAGAATATAAATAGCTTTTCATAGTATGGGATATAATATCCACAATTGCCAATAGTCACATCTAAATGTAATTCTTCAAAGAATCTACGCATTTTATATGACTATTCTAGTAGACTATAACTAAATAGAGATTAAATACTAATCATTTTTGTTTTCTTGAATGTTCTACTTCGATTTCTAACTAAATCAATGAATATCATAATCATTTATCTATTCTGTGAAATAATTATTGCGTACAATAAAATCAAATTAAACCCATTTCTAACCATAAATATTGTCTAATTCTCAATGTATTTAGAAGAATCTTGTAAATAGTAGAACATTTTAACATCAGTTTTTTTTCTCTGTTAGGAAATGTTGCATATCCTTTGAACAACGCTGTTTTTTCAATGTTTTATCAACTAATAATTACACTAAATGTTGTCTCAAACAATTTCATATTTATAAAAGAGATAACAACTCTATCTGACAAGAGTTGTTTTTTTTTTGAAAATCAACATTGAAATAGAGGAAGTGAGCTCATAGTTTTTATTGATATATGATCTTTTACATTAACATGATGATCTACGTCAAAAAAGAACTGATTATTTAAGAAAGAAAAAGAGAGAGCATGATAAATATTTTTTTCTATTATTTTAACAATTTTCTAGTTGAAACTGGAATGAAAAACAATATCTAATTACTGAAAATCTATAAATAAAAAAAAGAGTTTGCTGTCTTTTTTAGATTGTAAAAGTATTAAACTTTCAACAATGAAAAACAACAACAACAGAATAGGAGTTGTTAACGATGATGTAATTTATTGAGAAGAAGAAAAAGCATATAATATAGTTTTTGTCTTTTTTAATTATTTTAGTTTGACACAGTTGTTTCGAATGGAACACAACGAGAACCATTGTATGTATTATATTATGAATTGTAGACATTGGTAAAAAAAAGGATTTATTATTCTAGATGGGAATATCTGAAAAGAAGAAAAGTGACGTGGATTTTATTTACTGTAATTGTAGGTGTTTTAATTATAATAATTCCCGTAGTTATTCAAATAAGAAAAAAGATAAGCAATGAAGATATATCAACAATTGAAATAACAAAAACGGAGACAATGCAAACAACAACAAAGGGTATAGTTATATAAAGAAACAAATAATTATTTATTTAGAATATTTCATGAAAGATAAATTATCCCAAAATCAAATACTGAGTTCACTTTAGATGTGTTATTGGGATAATGATAGATGAGAACAGACGTTGAATTTCATTGTTTGTTATAACAACTTATACATCCTATCTCTAAGCAACACAGTATCAAAAGCTCTTCTGAGATCCATAATGGAATTTTTAGCATGTAGAAGAATATCTATAAAGAGTAATTTTCTGAGAAAATCAGATTTCTTTGATTCTTTTTATGTTACAAATAGTAGTGACATTAGTATTAGCTGAAATTTTCGTATCGATTAGATCACTTCTTCCTACACTAATAAACATAACATGAGCGGAATTTTTGATATTTGTTTGTGATTGATAGATTTGTTTTCTGTCCATCACATTCTCTCACAAATTATCAGAGTTGATATATTCTACAGAACATTTCATGTGAACGAGAAATACAATTAGTTTGTGCAGTTATTACTGTTTTATCTCATTGGAATGAAAATTAAATTAAATTAAATAAAAAATATCTCACTAAAGCCATCGCCCGAAAGCAAACCTTTTTGAGTCGAACTGTTTGTTTCGAGGCTTATTTTTCAAATTTGTACTTTAAAAATATCCTGGTAAACGAAATCTCTATGGGACTTGAATCGGCCCTATTCAAACTAAAGAATCAATACTTGCAAAAATAACAAAAAAATACAAAGAATTATTCGATGAAATAAAATTGGCATTGATGTCTTCCAAAAAAAATCTGATCGATATTGTGTATAAATTTGCAACGCATTGTCTAAGATCTTCTACAATAAATAAGAAAATATACAGTATTTTTTTTATGGAAATGATAGCCAAAAATAGTTTGAAAAAGAAACGAAGCTATTCTAGAAGCTCTGATTACGATCCTATGAGATCATCTTCAAGTTTTTCTCTGTACCACAAAGAATCTCTTAACAATATAATTAGCTGCACTACAGTAATCAATAGTTTTGAAAAGCAAGCGATGAACTAGACCGATGTGAATTAATTCCGTTTTATGATAGTTACATATAAGCTGTGAGCTTTGATCGTTGAATTAGGATAAATTTCTAGCCGAAATGTCATCTTGAATGAATATGAGACATCTCAAGAACAGTAGCAGTATGCAAATGTTATATGAGTTAGTTTCTACAATTATGCAAATGTTTCGTTATTAAACTTATAAAATATGTAAACTGAGTTGTCGAAATTATTATAGTAGAGATGTAATTAAAGTAAGGATTGTAAAATTGCAACTGTAATGTAAGGCATTTAAAGATTTCCTATATTATTGTAATGCACTTATCGTTACGGTCGATAGATTGTTAGAGAAGAAGACGATGAACGAAATTAGGAATAAAGCCTTATTCAGTCATTAAGTCTCTTTCTAAACTCATTTTTGTAATCTAGAACCAACGACCACATCAATTTCAACAACAACAACAACAACAACAACAACAACAACAACAACAACGACGACGACGACGACGCCAGGTTAGTAATATACTGAATGATTTGTAATAGCCTAAACGACCAATATCACAAGTAACCAAATATAAAGTTTTGGTTATAGTTGTCCGATGTTCCTCATTTAGATATAGAACATTATAGGACTTTGTATGAGATCTGCAAACAGACTCAATTTTTCATGACTTGATTTCACCTATAATGTCTCAATCTTATTAGTATACTATCACTTATAAAACGGAATTTCTGAGAGATAAAATATTTTCTTATTAATTTCGAAGAGTTATACACTCGAAAAGAACAAGTACTCTACTAAACCCCCCAAAAAGGTTTCGCCGTTACAAAAAAGTCTCAAACATATTCAAAGTTTCAAAGACACAATAAAAATTCTACAAAACCACTCAAGCATCGTTTCGTGTATCGGTGGGTTGAACCTTTTTCGGTGAAACCTTTTTTAAGTTCAGAACACCAGAAAAAGGTTTCGTAGGAATATACGAAACCTTCAGAGTTTGGGTGAGGGTGTGGGTGTTATTTTCTCATCTACACCCTCACTATGAATAGTATTCTCATATCAATATAGTCAATTGCTCTTCGTATAAAACAGAAAGCGAGAACTCAAAAGAGAATGATAAACGATCGATATCATGCAGAGGTCACGTAGCCTCATAAATACAACAATGGTAGTGTAGTCGTCGGGATAAGAAATACGATTGTTGTATGATAATTAATCGATACATGCAAAACAATCAATTACTCAAATGATCTTTCATTTTCAATGTTCGCACTAGAATTTGAAAAAGCTTTATATTTTCCTCAATTATTTTCATTTAAAGTTCACAATGTTTGATTAGTCTATCGACGATTAGGGAGTACCCTTTGTGCTGAAAATATTTATTTCATATCTGAATTATGATGTTGCTGGAGAATGCATTATTATTTCGACGGTGAATTCTGTTAATTACTATTGAATTGCAATAATTTCTTGTTTTGCAGCGGTTTGGGTCAAAATTGCATCTGATAGTGTTATAGATGCATATTGTACTGGACTTGGATACAATCCGTGGGCAACATTGAGTTACTGCCAGAGTTCTTGTCTGTGTATGGGTAGTTGTAACGCAGTCGATTGGGCTACGAGTGGTAAAGGATGTACATACCGTCAATGTAGCTCCTATCCACCAAATTATCAAAGCCAAAGTGGCTGGGAAGTATGGGCAATAACAACAGGAACATCAACTACGACAACATTCACAACCACGACAACAACAGGTTAGTTGTTTAAAACTTCTCAAATTATTAGAAAAAATGTATGTTTTTCATATAATGTACAAACTACGTTAGTATAAGATACATAATTTGCTGAAACTATTTGCAGTTTATGCTCATTACATCATGTATAACGTTTCTCGACAAGTTAGTCATAAAAATATAATTAAAAAACCTCAGTTATGACGTCTGGCAAACGTATTTATTTCTACTGCAAATTCTTAATAGAGATGTCGGATATTTTTGGATTAATTCAGGTATGCACTGGATTAGAATGCCGATGGATCAACCTTGATGAAACAGAGGAGAATCGGACAAACTGCTTCGTAGGTCTCGAACCTGACTCACATGTTGAAATGAGAAGAGCGATTTTGTTGAGTAACTCAACAATCATCTTAGGATTAACCCATAAAATTAACTATATTCTCAGGAATATAGTTACAAAAAACATTCTTTGATAAAGATATTGTTACAACATGACACATGCTATCCATCAACGTCTCCATAATTACCATAAATGTAATACTTGAAAATTAAATTGAAGTATTCAATTATTGAGCACTTGCAATTGAAACTATTTAAGATGAAGGCATAAAACTAGGGTGAGATGAGGGTCATAAACAAAAGTTAGATACTTGAATTCAAGTTTCAAGTATTAAATATTTCAGATAATCGCATTATGTATCAAAAAGTGTCTTCAGTTTTCGTATCAAAAACGAAACAACACCGAAATAATATTACTTTTTATGAGTCTTAAAAAGTGAATATAGTCTGTGACAAGCGTTTGCTTTATTCTGATATCAAATGGTATGGCTTTATACACAAAACCAAAGTCAAACAATTAGAATAAACGCACATATCATATTGCTTAAGAAAATAAATGCAATAGACATTGATATACCATATCTGTAAGAACTACATCTACTTACTTCAAACATTACATATCTAACTAGTCTATCAGTTTTGAATAATAAAATAATTGTTCTTTTTTCGACTTTTTATAGAATGTGGTCGATCTTCTCAATTATCCTGGTCACAAACCGCTACTACTATATTCGGCAGTCAGGCAGGTACATCTGGCTCTAGCCTCTCACTTCTTTCTCAACCAATTGGAATGTATTATGACCAACCTAATAATCGATTAACCATTACTGATCTTGGAAATCAACGTATTCTACAATTTTCTCTTAATAATCCACCTTCAGTTGCAACAGTAATTGCTGGTGGTAATGACGAAGGTTGTGCTATGAATCAGTTTTATCATGCTGTTGGAATAGGTGTTGATAGTTCTGGTCAATTGTATGTAGCAGATCACGGTTGCAATCGAGTTGTTAGATTTCCATCAAATTCAAATTCAACGACATCTGGAACACTTCTCGGTATTTTAGCTGTAGCAAATATAATATCTATAAATCAATGTACTGATGATATCTATGTAGTTAGCGAAAGTGATAATGCGGTATACAAGTTTGTTGGAGGTAGCGTATCACCAGTGGTTGCAGCAGGTATATAATGTTCTTTCAAAGAGATATTTCGTTTAACATTAGTTTTATTCTCATATATAGGTGGCAACGGTGATGGAAATGTTTTAAATCAGCTGTCAGCACCAAATGGTGTTTACTATGATTATTTATATACAATTGCTTTGTATGTTACTGATAACGGTAATAATCGTGTAATGAAATACCCATCAGGTTCAACGAGTGCAACTTATGGAACAGTTGTCGCTGGAGGTAATGGAGCTGGAAGTAGAGCGAATCAGTTGAATAATCCAAGAACTATACTGGTCGATAGTCAAGGAACTCTCTATATATCTGATGGAAGTAAGAGAAATTTTGAGAAAAGAAAATATACTATAGATTTAACAATCTTGTTTAACGTTTTTTCGTATGCAGATAACAATCGTATTCAACGTTGGCTGCAAAATGCGACTTGTGGTACTACAATCGTTGGTGGTACATCAGGAACAGCATCGAATCAGCTCAAATGGCCTGAAACAATCCTCTTTGATGAGTATTATAATCTGTTGGTTGCTGATAGATCAAATAATCGGGTACAACGCTTTAATATAACAACATGTTAATGTATAAAAACTTACTACCGATTATTATCGTTAACAGTAAAACTTTAAAAAAGCCGGTTAATGTGTTGGCCTTTTTCTATTTTAATAAACGTTCAAGTACTGAATCAATTTTATTTTGTAAAATTTCTCTCATAACTTCTATATTAATAAAAAAAGCATACGCTTTTTTATGAAATCTTATGGGTGTGGGTGAGTTTGTACTTCTTTTATATCCACACCCATCATTTTTCTAACAAAAAGGCTCACTTAAGAATTTCATATTGCAAAATCGGCTGATTTTCTCTATAAATATGACTATAAGGGACTTGTGGGTGTAGGTGGGTGGGTGTGGGTTGGCAGCTTGTGTGAAACTGTAAATGATTAATGCGAAGAAAACCCATACCCACACACATCCACACCCTGGTGAATCATTTTTGTTCTTCTTTTCTTTCTCTTCGACTATTCTAAAAATGTTAAGCATTCTTCTGACTATATTTTTTTTCCAGTAAGAAAAATCATTATTTTAAATTTTCTTCTCGTTTATTGTTTGAAAAACAAAGGGAAGAAAGTTGCTTGAATTGTACTCTAGTCGTTGTCGTTGTCTTTGTTTATATATAGATATCTGACGTTTTTCAAATGAAAATAACGCATTTTTCAATTTTTGGGGAAAGATCGTTAAATAAATGAATGTACAAAAACCCATATAAACAGGAAATCTAAAATTTAGATCAAAAAGATGTATTCGATACTGTGTACAAATATGAAAGTTAAAAAAAAATGCTTATGCTTTTAAAGTGATTCTATGAATCATTTCTTACACAACAGAAATGAAACTCTGTTTTATACCAGATCGTTATAGTTGAAGCAAAAAATTGTTGAATCATTTCTAGTTCTTCTATTTTTATTGTTTACTCAATTTATAGTCATCTGAGGTATTTTTAACAAAGTATATTCCAACAAAAAAGGTGGATCTGGATGTTTTATTTTCCAACAAAAAGGATGGGTGTGGGTTTTTTCACAGTACTTTTACATGGTAACCTGTATTTAAGGAGAGAAATTTTAATCTTTCTTCATTGTGTTTCATTAAAACTACTATTTCTACGTCCAACAAAGTAAAGCGGATTCACAACACACAAGTGAACAAAATTCTGAATACCATCAAACAATGTATTCTTGGTTTTATTTGGCAGTGATTTTTGCGTAAGTTCTAAATAATCATGTTTGATTCTTTTATTCATATGAAAACAAGGATTTGAATCCTATATATCATATGATAAGAAAAACTTTAAGATAATTTTTCTTATTTTATAGATTATATGCAAAACTATGTAATGGACAAGGAGGAGATGATATTGATATGCATCCTGACATAGATGTCTTACTCTTCGAACTGGATAAGATTGTCGAGGATGATCACGATCTAAAATCAATTCCGGACGACCTACGTTATAAATGTCAATTAGCTTTAGGTCTTTGGTCATCTGATGGACGTGAAGATAATGATTATCCACCATCTACACCTCAGCAGCATGCTAATGCTGATCGTTTAGTAGACAAAATTAGGCAAACACATTTGTCATTGGGTGGTAGTGAATTTGATCGAGAAGGTTTTAGACGGGATCTGTTTATTCTTAAACATCAATGGATGGTGTTAGCAACACAATATTACACATTTATCAAGTATTATGATGAACCATCAAATCCAAGTTATATTTTCAAATTATTTCAATGGACTGTCTATACAATTGACTCTCCCAATGAATTCGCATTAATGTATCATCTTGAACGAAGTCCTAGTGTTGAATCTGGATATACTTATGTGTTAGGACGTAAAATTCACCCCTATTATCATGAATCATTGATCTATTTTGGTAATTCTTGTCCATCATATATGACACTCAAAACACTCGTTATTGGTGATATCATGGGTGATAAGCGACTTGCTGCTATTGCTTCTTCTGGCTATTATTTTGGATAATTCATATTCGTATTGTAGTTAGATAACCCTATACTTGAAATTTTCAGTTTATAATATTCTAGAAGAAACAACAACTTAAAACAAATATCAAATTCTGTATTGTTGTAAATTTTTTGACTTTTTTCATATGAATACATGATGATGATCAACAGTACGAGAATATTTCGAACTAAAATATATTGATGAAATTATTCTCTTATTTATTTTTATAATGAGAAAGTTTTGTTAAAAGTTTTAATGAAACATAAAAGTTTATTATCAGTAATTATAATAGTAGAACAAATGTTGAGAATCTATAAATCTAATATTATTAGTTAAGAATAAAATATGAATATAATTTTATGCAGATGATATTCTATTAATATCATCATATAATGGTGGTTGATCGATAACTTGTATTGAAGAATTCTTAGAAGTTTCTTTCTTATTTTGATTTCTTCGTCGACTAAAAAACCAAATAATAAGAATAATAGCGAGAAGAATGATCAAAATAAAACCAAAAATAGATATAATCAAAGGAACTAAAACACTTTGTGATGATTGACAATCATGTCCATTACAAGATTCTAAAACAATATATATGTATAAATATATAGATATAATCAAAATGAAATATATTGCCTGTTTCAGTGATAATTATAGGAGGAATATTGGATTGATTCGTATGTTTCATTGGTAGTAATGATAGATCCTGGTAGTAAATAAAAATAATCCTTGTTTGATTCTCTTAATATCAAAAACATCAACATAATGCGAAATTCTATAAGAAGAAAAAAATGACAGTTGACTATTTTTCTTTTCATATAAATATACATTATTTTTTCATTAGTACCATAGATTAATCTTTTCTTTCTTCTTTCTTAAAGTACATCATACCTGTATATATAACACATTGACAAACTTCTGAATTAGATTTCATGTATTACATTTTATTAAATAAATGAAAGAATTAAATTAATATGTATTTTGTTGGACAAACAAAGTAGTATAAAGAATGAATGAGCGAGATTTAATAACAAGAGAGAAAAAGAAAAAGAGAAATTTTTCACAAAAACAAATGAATTCAGATCATGAAAATGTACATTAAGGAATGTTTCTTTTCTTTTTGGTTTAAAGTTTAATTAACAATAGCTGATGAACACATTAAATTAACTCCACATGTTCCATCACCACGATATAAACGGTAATAACCCTAGAAAAAGTAAGTTTATTTATTGTATTTAAAAAAAAGAAGCGAAATTATTCGTTACTTTTTCACCCCAATGTGGACCCCAACTATTTTTTATAATCCAATATGGAATTGATTTGGATTCTAAATTTATGTCGAAAAACAAAGATATTAATTTGAAAATAAAAATAAAATAAATCTTACTTTTTACTTCAACACCATAACCAACAAGTAAAACTCCATGATTAAGTCCTTGTGGATTACAGAAGGTACGATGAGGATGTGCAATACCACGAAAATAAAACTTTAATAAAAAACTATTTTAATATACAAAAATAATCTAAACTCTTACCTGCATCATATTTGCATTTAATCCAATTGAAATTGGTGCATTATTTGCCAACCATTCTGCCATTTCTATTTAAGAAAAAATAAGTTATTTCATCAGAATAAAATATCATCGTTTTTTGTTTTCTATTACCATTTTCATCCGATGTTATATTTAAATATCCATCAATATTAACTTTTATTTTTGTTTTATCTAATAAACATTGATTATGTTGTTTTCCTTCATATTTGTAATCTGCTTCTGTCATAAGTCCACTCATATTGATTATTTGTCCATAAGCATCAGTCATAAATCCTCCATTACAGCCTTCATCAACTTTATCACAATCAACTAATTCTATTTAAATAAAATAAGTTCCATATTTAGAAATATTTTTTAAAAAAGGGAATTCTATTATTTTATTAACCTTGTTCAGATAAAGGAATTAAGTCTCCTTTCTTGACTTTCCAAACTCCTTCAATATTTCCAGTGACACTAAATGCCCAACATGAACCACATTGACCCTTTGAAGAAGAAAAACAAACTTGTCTTTAAAAAATAAATCTTTCATTTGAATTTTCTTTACTTGATTTTTAACATCAGTAACGGCGCTATGATTACGCCAATCAAATGCCTCTGGTGAAACTTTTAATGGATCTTTTACAGATGTTGGAGCTTTTGAAATATGTTTTGATAATGAAAGACGTTCATTTAAATAATATTGAGTAAATTCTTCTTCTGAAAAAAATTTACATTACAATAAATAAATTTCTATAATTTTAATGAATACAAACCATTAAGATCACTTAAATGTGTTATTCCATATATAGCAGTGCCTTCTTCTTTCTCATTTAATTCTTCAATTCGATTTAAATTATCTTTAAATATTTGAAATCGCTTTTCTTTTTCTATAAAAAAATAAATTATTTGTTAATGTGGAAAAAAAATATAAGATTAAATCAAACCTTTATCATTAAGATAGAGTTTTTGATGAAGTCTTTGAAAACTATTAAATAAATATGTGTCATAATCATTTACTTCTTCAATACTGATATGTTCAACAGGAATTTTTGCACCATACTTAAATAAATTAAAATTTAATATTTGAATAAATTCAAAAAAGAAAAAAATTTTATTTACTAAAAGTGGATAAGGAATCTTGTTTGCATTACGTTGGATATTTCCACCAATTAACTGTGGATTTTGAGGATCTTGTTCAAGTGAAATACACATTATTGAACGAACAAGAGCACGAATATGTCCAATAGGATCATCATAAACTGAAACTGGACATTCATATTTCTAAAAATTAATTATTCATATATAAATATTCAGTACATAATTATTCTTATTCTATACTTACAATATCACTATCAGTTGAGCTAACTTGAAAATGTACTGTAAATATTTGACGACTAATCTCTAAATCAACCTGAAATGAAATTGAGTTTGTATTTAAATTAAATATTAAATATATAGAATGAAATTTACAGCAGTTTTTATATGAATAATATGTGTTGCATGAATATGATCTTCAGAACGAAAATATTTTGTTAATGATGAACTAGCAAAAGAAATGATTTCAGCATCAACTGATGATAATTTTTGTTCATAGATTTTTTTCTCTAATGCATTAATTGAAACAAATAACCAAATAAATAATGTATAAAATAGCCACATATTCTTATTTTGATTTATCATGATATCAAAATATGAGAAAACGAATTACTTTATGCCCGTGATGCGATAATTAATTGCGTATGCTTCAAAAATATATATATCATCTGATCAAAATAAATTATTTCACCAATGGAAAATGCGTCTCTATATAGAGTGTATTCAAGATGTCACTAGAAGACAAACTGTGATACTTATATATATTTCATACGCGACAAAGTTAGAATCTAAGATTTGAACTTTATTAGGTATACGTGAGTGTGGGTGTGGTAATAAGGTAATATCAGCATCCACACCCACACCCTTCTGTTATGGTTTTATCTACCTGTTGCTTTTCTCTTTCTCTTCCTTTTTTTACGTTCCGGGCTATATAACTATTAGATATTAAAAATTATATGAAATAAATGTCATATTATTTAATCTTTTTATGAAATAAAAAGACGTATTTCTTTTTCACAGTTATGACAACGCTCGAAGGATGAGTGAGAAAAAAGAAGAAGAGAAACTACTGACAAACAACAGAAAAAAGAAGAGAAATACTAAGTAATATGAATGAGTGTCTCTGTTTATTTAGTCATTAATTATTCTTGCTGGTTGTACTTGATTAGGTTTCATTCTATGAACTAGTTGGTTTCGGTTAATTACTGATACTATCGCTGATGACTGATTCTGTTCACGATTTAACAGGAGATTCTTCAGATTTTGTCGTAAAGTTTTTGATGAGTACGCATAAATATAGAAGCCACTACAGTAATTAACAAAATTTATTAGCATTGCAACTGTAATGATCATATTATCTAGGGCTACGCGTGAAATGTCTCTTATTGTATTCGTTTGCACGGCCTGATAGATGATCTGAACGGTGTTAAGACTGAAAGAAATTGCCATTACCATTAATTGTAGAAGAACCATTCGAGTCAATTGGCGAGAAATAGATCCTTGATTTTGACGTACGGACATAATATTTTTTCTTGTTAGAATACCGAATATGATGATTAAAGACAAAGGTAAAAGACAGAGAAGAATCAAACCTTGAATATACGTGAAATAGAATATCCATTCAGTTGAATATGTAGTGCACACAGTTGATGATGCGTTCACCGCTTTTGGATAGAGATTGTAAAAAACCGGCCCCGGTGTATTGATCAAACACCATAAAAGAATGGAAAAGAACGAAATTTTTTTCGCCAAAGATAATTGACTGAACTGACGAATTCTTGCAGATCGACTTGTTACACAGTATTGATCTATGGCAGAAAATATCATAGAGAAAACTGATGTCAGCTGACACACTTGAGCGACATAATTCCGAAATTTACAAATGAACATATTATTGTTTGTTACTTGAATTTGAAAGCCAGTAATGAGAATTCGAGTAGATATGATACAGGCAATATATACTAGATTGGCAACGGCGGCGATGAGCAAGTAGAGTCGAGAGGGTGTAGGTGGAAAGAGACGAGTTTTCATCACAGAAAAAAATGTGAGAATACTCAGACAATTACCAATAACGCCAAATAGAAATATAAAAATGCCAAAGACAATAGTGAAATATTGAGTAACTAGGTTGAGTAGGTCAGCAGTCGATACCATTTTCAAAGTCAGTCAACTTTCTTCTATGATAGAAAAAAATAAAGAGTGTAAATGCCTTTTTCTTTTCTTTTTATTAATTAGCGAGATAATAACCCTCCGACCATATCGGTCTTGAAGGAACATGTACTGAGTTACTCTAACTAACGGCAATAGATGTAAATGACAGTAGCCAACAGCTATGATGAGGCTTTATATGCAACAGTATCAGTATATGAAAAAAAAAGAGATGAACAAATACCATCAGTATAGAATTGATGGATACAATAATCAAGAGAAGAAACTTTAGTCCCTAGGTGAAAAGTGACAATGAAAAAATTAACCTATGCTTTTCTTTAATAACATTATTTGAATGAAAGCAAATAGTAAATACTTATTTTCTTTTTCTCAAAGACAGATAGCTTTCTTTATGGTTAGTTTTGACATTGACTGTATGTCATCCGATAAGATGTATCTTAAAATAAAAATAATCACTAGAAAATAATGCACAGTTAACTTCAACGACGCGTTTGTGTTATTTGTTTAAATAAAGACACTTATTAGGGCTCTGTATTATATCTCAAAGCGTAGCATCAACGCAAAGATAGAAGTGAATACGAAAGCAGGAAATAACAGAAATAATAAGTTTGAATACAGACTCATACTAAGTGATTTCAATAGCAAAGGCGAGTATACTGTGAAAAAAATTATTAATACTGTCACGATCAATAAGATAGAATATAAAATTTTGACTAAGAATGCCAGTCTTCATATACAAGTGTATATAGCCCATCCTATTTTAATTATAAATTTTGGTTTGAAATTGGAATTGAAATAGATCTAATACAACGTTCTGAAAATAATTATCGAAAAGCACTGAAATTCTATAATATTCTATAGAACCATGCACAGCTAGAGATTAGAGATCTTAATGAATATAATGCAAAATTTGCACGAAATATCCCGCATTATTACTATGAAGTTTATCTATCCGGAATGGCTCAACATCTTTGCAATGAAGAGTGTGTTAGTATATAGTGTATTTCTACTAGATATCTTTGTTTTATTTTAAAAAATGTCGTCGTTTCGTTCTTTTTTAACATCGACAACAGCATCATCATCAGTTATATTTTGAAATTTTATTTCAGTTTTTACTGATACCTCTCAATCATCAATATCTATTATCACCGATTCTTACACTACTGCTGACGGTTCACCATCATGTGAAAAAGAATATATATTCAAATAAGTCAAACTTCTTTCGAAATAACAGCCATCGACGTTTAGTATTATTAAAAAAATGATAAAATAAAAGAAGTTAACGATAATTAAAAAATATGATCAATATGGCATGTGAAACTATTTGTGGAAAACATAATTAACTAGATAGACTACCTATGCATGCATGGACTGGGCTGAGCCAGAATTCGGGGTGGGTATGGGTGAGAGCAGGGTGTGGGTGAGGGTGTGGGTGTGGATAGGGGGGAGGGATGGGTCGGATCTAGGTGTGCATAGGTGAAGAGAAGACAAACACCCACACCCACATCCTCAAGATTCAATGTTCACTCGATCCAGATCGTCATTCAAAGTCAGTTAGTGCTATCTTTTTTATCTACCTTTTCCAAACGACATGCCAACTATTTTACAATGTCCCTCGCTTGTACACGCAAAAGAAGAGAAAAACAAGGACATGGAAGAAAAAACTAGCAAGTTACTTCTCATATCTCGCCTATACAACCTATGAACACGCAAAAAGAAACAATTTTTGTGATTATTTTCTTCATCGCTAAAAATCATTCATTATTTGGCGATACAAAGAAGAGAACCATAAATAATCGTCAGAAGATTATGCAGGCATCATTTAATGTACTATTTTTTAGAAGTTAAATGCTCATGAAAATGAACATCTGCAAGAGTTTTTCAAAAAAAAACTGAATCGTGTTAAAGAAAATGTATTTCTAATAGTAAATATTCTATTCATTTTAATCCTTCTCAATTTATCTTCGGCAGTATTTTACATCATTCTCTCACTTTTTCCTTTTTAGTTTTCTGTATAATCATAATAAATATTATTTTAAATAATTTACTTTTCTATTTTCTTCAGGAGAGTTGTTACATTGATGCAAAATAACAACTCACACCTGCACAATATTTTATTTAAAACTAACTTTACATAAAGGAAGTAAGATTATTGTTTCTATCAACATATGTTTTTATTTCTTCCAAATGTTACAATATTTTAAAGAGAAGAATTATTTTTTTTATTTAGTTGATAAGAAATAGAGAAATTGATATTGTTTTCACATTTGTTTTTAATCCTACCACATTAGAATATATCAAAACTTTATTTTAACATTGTTTTATTTTAATTAATTATTGAAATATTCAATGGGAGTTGATTTATGTTTTCTATAATTTTATAAATGTTGATTAATGATCTTTTAAGAAAAAAAGAGTTTTTTAATCGATTTTAGATTTCAAAAATATTCATATTTAGATAAAACACCAAGTATGGACATCAATGACACAGTAGATGTTGATGAAGTAACGTATTAAATAGAAAAGAAATAGAATAAAATAATCTTTTTGAATTTTTTAGTCTATAGTAGTTAATTTAAATCCAACACAATTACAAACATTGTATGTATATATATATATATATGATAAATTAAAATAAATTATCAAAAGAATTTTTTATTTTTTAGATACGAACATTTTCGAAAACGAAAATTAATTTGGATAATAGTTTTGATTATTTTAATTATTGCAATTATAGCTATTCCAACAATTATTGTTACAATGAATACAGAAAAACGAGAAAAAACATCAACAGTACAGAAAACAACAGTAGAGATAAAAACAACAACAGCGGCAAGATATATAACAACGGAAAGAACAACAGCAACGGCAGGCAAACCGGTACAAATTACAACAACAGAGAAAACAGCAACCGGTATGATTTGATTAAAACTAGTTCGTTTCTTATTAGAAGTAATTCATAAAAGATAAATTAGTTTTAATATTGATTTTTCTTTATTCAACCTTAAAGATTTTATTCGAATAATGACATAAAACAGTTTAATCTTCGATATTGGCCGTCATAAATATTACTTTTATAGGGTAATATCGAAAGGGTCGCTGAAGATTGAATAAGAATGCAATATTCAGATCGTAGTTCATCTATTCAAGCCCACACCTATCCCTCCCGTAATTCATATGTAGTGACGTTGAAACATTCTATTCAATAAAATAAAATATGTTTTTTTATTAAGAAAGAATTTTTAGAGCAAAAGAAAAGAAAAAAAAATTGATATCCTTTTTCATGTTTTTTATAGAACAATCTCTTCTTTCTGTTATCATTGATAACAATATGAAATGGAAACAAAGTGCAATTACTGTTGCTGGAGGAAATGAACACGGAGATCAAATAAATCAATTATATCTGCCTCAGGGTATTCATGTTGATGAGGATAGTGGAGATATTTATATTGCTGATAGTATGAACGATCGTATTGTTCGATGGAAATTTGGTGCAGATACTGGTGAAATTGTTGCAGATGGAAAAGAATTTGGGCCTGAAACAGATCAATTGCTTTTCCCAACAGATGTAATTCTTGATAAAGAGAAGACATCTCTCATCATTTGTGATCCGTACAATAAACGAGTGATCCGATGGTTTCTTCAAAATAGTCAAGATATAGAAATATTGATATCTAATATTGTTTGTTATGGTTTAGCAATGCATAGTAATGGAGATCTCTATATTTCTGATCAGATAGAACATCAAGTCATACGTTGGCAAGAAGGAGAAACAGAAGGTACAGTTATAGCAGGTGGGAATGAACAAGGAAATCAGTTGAATCAATTCAATAATCCTAAGTATATCTTTGTCGATGAAGATCATTCAGTTTATGTAGCAGATAATATGAATAGTCGTGTAATGAAATGGATGAAAAATGCGACTGAAGGGATTCTTGTTGCTCAGGGAAAAGCTTTTGACGAAAATCCCAATTCAATAATGTACCCTATAGGTGTGATTGTTGATCATATGGGTAATATTTATGTGTCAAATGGTGAAAGCGATCAAATAATGCGCTGGTCGCCAGGTGCAATAGAAGGTGTCCCTGTCGCTGGTGAAAAACAATTTGGAAGCGGATCTACGCAACTCAGAAACCCATATGATTTATCATTTGATCGACACGGTAATCTTTATGTTGTCGATAGCTACAACTATCGAATACAAAAATTTGTTATTGATCGTGACTAAAACAAATTTTTGATGATAAAATGACTTCTGACAAATATTTCTTTTTATCACTTTTCAATTTTTTTCATTAATAACGAATAAAATTCTTAAAAATTATAAATAATCTAATTTATCATTCATTTTTTAGACAGTCTTTTCAGATTCCTTTATTAAAATCTATAAATATTTTGCCAACCGCCACAATACAATGTTTTAATAGAAATCTTTCAATAATATTTGTATGTCTAGATAGTTGAGGGTGTGGGTGTGGATGTGGGTGAGGGTTAAGAGAATATACGTAGATTCACACCCACAGCCACATCCACCCACGCCCACACCCGCGCACTCACACCCTAGTAGAATGATATGCTAGTAAAACATATTCCTGCCAATTCACACATATTCATCTAACGTATGATACGTTTATTTGTAGTTTTAGAAAATACTAGTTCGGTATACACAATATTGAGTCACTACACATAACATACGAATAGCTTGAATATAATAAGCGACAATAAAATTACGACATTCAACTTCACAAAAACATTAGTACAAGTATAAGAAATCCATAAATCATAGTGCTAGTATATTATATATTTTTTAAACACAACAGTTAATGTTCGAGATTCCGTTAATTTTAAATATATCCGAAAGGTACTCATGTTTGTATGTTCGCAGGTGCTATAACTCGTCGATTCTTTTTCCAGATGAACAAAGCACGAACTTTTTTTTTCAGTTCAGGAAGTGCCACTACAGAAGCGTAGGGAAAAAGTATAAACGAAACATAGGTCAGATGTGCGATATAGGGATTGAAAATATTGTAACCAAAACCATAGATTCCCGCCCAATTCACGACTAAAATAATAACATATATTAGATAGCAGACGAGATAAACAGCAGACACTGACATGAGTTGCAGGATCATTTTGCGATGTTGTCGCCATCCGGCAGCTAGTTGTAAGCGACGTTTTTGTAAAACTACACGAATAATAAAACTGACAATGAACACTACAATGAGTAGGATTGGTATGGTATAGTGAGCAAGTGTTTCATACCAATTATACCAGTTAGGAGTTTCTGCATAAAAATATGGTCCGCCACACAAATCATATGCAGCGTCGTAAGCATGATCACAAGGATATAAAAAGATCATATAGAAATAAAAAATCTGTGCATATAGAGAAAAAAATGCTAGTGGTATATAGTGGTACAGTAAGCGCCCTCGAGCTGTTGCAATTTGAGTTGAATGAAAGATGAGAATGTGTCGTTCAATCGATATCCAGAGCATGACATGAATACAGCCATACCAGATTCCGTAGTCCACGAATTGTTCAATAAGACAAATTACGGGATTAAAGAGCCATACATACCCTAGCCGACGATAATTCATTGTCGCTGACATATCTATCGTGAGGTAAAGAAAGTTGTAGATCAGCATGATGATAATGGAATGATTTTGAAGAAGTTTTCGTGTGGTTTTCGTTGCGACAAGATGATACATCGTGAAAAGATAACAGGGAATGGCCATTATCTCACCAAATAACAATAATATCGTTTCCGTAGTTGGCCAAAATGGTGGAACATAAGCAGCAGAGGCAAAAAGTGAGACCGATTGAGTGGAATTGTTAGTCATTGTAAGAAGTATGTGTTAGCAGATTTCGAATGACTATTCGTAAAGAGAATGTAAGTCGTTGTATCGTATGCTCGTTCCAAATATCTATTCACAATAATGATATAAATCAGAAAGTTTTACTAGATAAGGAACAAGTTATTCTTCTAAACAAAAGACAATGAAACATTCTGTGTAAAAAAGATTTTTTATCTCTTTTGTGGATGAATCTAACCATTAAAATGACCTATGTGCATTGCACTGCAATAGTAGCACTGAAAATTTTGTATGTAGCTGAAACATGACTCTGTCAAAAAAACTCAATAAATAATGAATATAATAACTATATAGATATGGGATTAGAGCGAAAATGCAATGTAGTCGATGTGATACATCCCTATTCTCTGAGAAAAATTTAGATCTGATAGAAAAGTTATGATTACGCTATCTAGTCAGTTCACATTAAATATCTTTACGATGTTGATTTTAGTTCACACCTTCAACGTCTTTTATATATAACGACGGATAATAATAATGTTCAGATGCGAGGAGGAAATAACTATAGTTGAATGACCTCTTTTTAAAATTTACATAGAATTGTATTTTCTTAATATCTAACACCAACGATGGAACTTAATCATATATATATCTCAGATATTTTTTTCCTGTATATTACATTGGATGTTACTCGAAAACTCATCTTTAATTATCTAAAAATACGAAGAAGATTATATTTGTTTATCTATAATTAAGTATTGTTAACATAAACGAATACCTACTATTTACAGACTATTCGACCATAATCTTTCTAATCAGTATATTTCTAGATTTAGATTTGCCATCTAGAATTATTCCTAATGAGAAAGATGTTTTCATTTGTCAAATTACTGAGTAAAAAGATGAATAGCTGTATGCAGTATTTAGTGAAATCAAATGGAAAGTGTGATAAAGTAAAAACAAAATATGTATGTCGTTTTTCTTTGACATTCATTTTATCAATTTCCTTTATTCTAACGTACCAAGAGAAAGGTAGTAATACAGTCAAGTTTTGATCTTATCATGCTGTTTTTATTTCATCGATTGTCTCTTTAGTCTTGTTTCACTTTTACAAGTTTTATGCCAAAAGAATCGTATGCATCAACCAATTTTATATAGCGAAAACATCGAAAGATGATAGTTCATTTGTTGTATTTTTCTGCCTATATAGATTTTCTTATCTATTTTATGTTGCCTCTTTTTCCATGTGTTTGTTTTATCCATGTGTTTGTTTTATCCATGTCTGAAGTTCGAAACAAATTCATCAGTATTGTATGACATTTATAACAACGCAAGAAATATGTATTCAGTAGACGTTTCCGTTGCTTGTTTAGTGTTGCATTATAATACTTAAATAGAGCAAAAAAAAATAGAACAACTCATTATGACTGACGAAGTACGCCTTTTTTTAATAATTAGGATTCAACAGTATCTTATCATGAATACCATATATTTAAATTCCTTCTCATTCACATATCTTTGTTTGAGCGGATAAAGTATAATTTATACTATAGAAGAGAATGTCGTAGAATCTAAAAAAGAAAAGAAACCGAATACTAAAATCTAGAAAGATTTCCAATATCCTTATAACAAAGGAGAAAGGATAATGTTCTTTCATAAGCTTGTATGATTATCTACTTCAATCATGATCATTGTGCTCTGTACTTCTATTATTATGTACAATAGAGTGAAGGTTTGAGTATGGTTGCGCTGATATGTGAGTATACTTGTAGGTGAGGGAGTTGTTTTAGATACAGCCACACACCCACACCCACCCTCAAAAGGTTCGGTCGTGGCGTGTGGCGACCAACTCTTAAACAATGATTATATACACAGAGACATAAGAGTGGCTATCGAAGTATAAATAAGAATATTAATGGATAAACAGAGTTGAGGTTGTGGATATATGATGAGCATAATCTTCATATCCACACACCCACACCCTCAAGATGTGCATTATTTTGCACAACAAATAAATCATTAAGTTACACAAATTACCATATTAAAAAATGAAGTACTTATAAGAAAAAAGAGACTCTAGTTTTTGTTTAATAATCCATATGGCGAACTTTATCTTCAGTTTCAAATAAATAAAGATGATAAAATTAGTCGAAAAAATCCTATATTTTTATTACAAAAAAAGAAAAACATTTTATTTATAAGTTTGAATAGCTTGTAATTGTTGTTTCATTTCATCAATTTGATTTCGATAATTTCGAATAAAATTTAATGTATTCCCTATTGATAAATCCTCTGTTTGTTCTTGATTTTGATTCAATGAAACAAATTGCTGAATATGTTGAATTGTTTTATTAAGATAATTAACTTGTATCTGACATGATTCTAATTGATTTTGCATTCGTATTTCTTCATCTGATAAAACTGGTATATTTTGTTCAATCACAGAAAGAACATCACCAACATGTGATGATAAACGTTTTCGACGTGAACATTCCTATAGAATTAAACATAAATAAGAATATTAAAATGAATTTTTCTTACTTTTTCATATTTTTCTGTTAGAATTTGAAACTGTTTTTGAATTTGTTGAAGTTTTTCATTGAGTTGTTTATTTTCATTTAATTGTGTTTGTTGAAAATCAAGTAAATAACGTTGTTTATTTTCTAATTCTTTATGAACTTTTTCTTGTTTTTGAATATATTGTTCAGTTAAAAGTTTAATGAATTGAGAAAGATTTTTTTCAACATCAGAATCAGATATATTTGTTGATAATGATGAAAGTGTTACATAAGGAATTGTTTGTTCACGAGAAAGTAATGAACGAATACGATCAAGAAACTCAGAATTTTTCGTTTGTGATAAACTAAGTGAATTATTACTAAAATTTGAAGATTGCGAACGAACAAGAATCAATTCCTAAATTAAAAAAAATATATTCAATTCGAACGTTTTATATTTTCTAAAAATGAAACCTTTTGTTGATTTGTTTGTGATTTAACAATAGCTGCTAAGTATTGTCCATGATTATGAATTTGTATTGAACCAATTTGTTCAATTTTATTATTAAATTTCTGATTTGAATTAGCTCCATCAACTAAATGTTGAATATTTGTTGATTGAAATTGTTTTAATCCTTGTTGAACTTGATCAATCCATAGAATTTCAATTAAATAAATATTTGCATTTGAATCTGCAATATAATATTTATTTGGTGAAAATTTATCTGGAATAATTGATGTTATCATTTGTCCAGTTTGATTTGTTAATAAAGATATTGAATCAATTGTAAATAAATAATATTGATTTATTGATGGAGATAAAATGATACATTGATTAAGTTGACATTTATCATGTGTAAATACAAGAAGTGGACAAGTTGAATCTGATAAACAAATAAATGTTGATTGACCATGATCAACACCATAATTATCAAATGTTGATGGAAGAATACGAATAGGTCCTTGAAATTCTTCAACTATTTTCTCATTATTATTTAATAATTGATTTTGTTCAATTTCTAATAAATAAATATCACCATCACTTTTCATTGCAAATAGAAGAATTAATGAAATATCTTTTTCTTCGCGTTTTTTTATATTTAATTTAAGAATATCTGATGGTTGATGAAGAGAGATTTTTTTATTTGGTGTTCCTAATTTAGTTTTTGATGATGAACCAACAGAAAATGTTTGAATATGTTCAAGTCCATCTTGTTTTGATGATCGAATTGAATAAAGATGACAATCAGATGATGAAGGGATAGAATAAACTATTACGAAATGATTTGATGTTAACCAAACAAAATCAATTAATGAACAACTAAAAGTTGATGATGATAGTGATACTGATGGAGGAACACGAATTATTGGACAAAGACGAGATCCTTAAATTATTAAAAGTATTTATAAAATAAATCATTTTTGTTTTTCTAATAAAATAAAAACCTTTTGATGGTGAAGTATGATTAGTGTTACTATTTGTTTGTGGTAAATAAACAAGATAAGCAATTTTATCGGCAAGAAGTGCCAAAATTGTTTCATCTTCATTCAGAATTAATCTTCGAATTGGCCATGTTGGTGATGAAGATAAATGAAGACAATCATTTGAAATATTACTTAGATTAGTTAATTCAATAGATGAATGAACAAGTAGACAATGATTTAATGAATCATAACCGTAGAGAGATGATTTACCAAATGTAAATACATCAACATTAGGCCATTGAAATGGAATACGAATTGAACTTGATAATGACATTTTTCTCCTACAGAATTTATTTTAAAAACAAAGTAGAATATCATTTGTAATAGTTACTGTGTATAGGAAGAAAAATAAAACCAATAAAAATTCAATACAATATCACTAACTATTTTCATGTTTATCAACAGATGTCACAATATTACTTACGTAAGAAATAGAAAATTGTATTTTCTTATATTATATATTTAAAAAAAAAGAATTCATTGGATAGTTTGTATGTATTACAAAATTACAGCGAGATAGTTTTGAAGTTGAATTAGAAATTTACTCTTATATGAATACACACTTTTTGAGTATAAAGAGAATAATTCATAATTTTCAGGTAGTTTATTCAGTAAATGAATGATTATCTCAAGGTCAACGTCCACTCTAATATTAAAAGTATATTATTTTCATTTTTAAATGTTTCTTGATTCTATTACATAAAAACCAAAAAAATATTTTTAAAAGACAGTTTGATAAATCAATGAAGATTAATATTATATTTATTATTTCAAAGAATTAAGTATCAAAAAGACTGATAATGCATTGTTTTTGACTTATTTCATTCTTCTCATCCAACTTTTCTAATAAATTTCAAGACATAAAAAGACATCTTGAGTTCTTTTCTTATTATTCGTCATCAAGTAACGTATAAATAATACGATATTTGCTATATGACTCATATCAAATAGATCTATAAGAAAAAAGAAAAGCAAATTTTTTCTTTTTAATCTTTTATTATTCCGTGTTTTGTCCTACATTTATTTTTCTTTAATAATGAAATCAGCAATTAAATCTGATGAGCCTATTATTTCAAATGATTATGTGACGTGCTATGCAGATCGTTTAGTCATTCATTTATATTATTTTCCATATGGAAACAAAACAATACAATATCGTGATATTCAATCATGTGATTTACTTCGAATGAGTGATTTAAGTATCTGGAAGAAAAAAATGTGGGGAATGGCATTATCAGCAGTTTGGTGGCATTCAGATATACGTCGTCATAATCGAGAATATTATATTCTTTTAGATGCAAATCAATGGCCTAAAATAGGTGTTACAATGGATGATAATCAAATTAGCGATGTTTATAAAGTTATCATACAACAGATCAATACAAATCAATCAGAGAAGAAACCATTTGATCACAACGAAAAACTAAATGCTAATACGAATAGTTCAATATCAGAAGAGAAAAATATATATACTAAATGAAAAAAGACTAAAAAACATTTTTTTTCTTATTATATTTTTTAAATAATTATACATTGATTTTATTTTAAGGTTTATTCGATGAAAAAATACAATCATACTAATGTATCTAAATATATTTTTTCAAATAAAAAGAAATTTTTATCACTGCTGCACGTTTTTATGATTTCAATAATATTTATTTTGACTCAAACGGTAATTGTAATATATTTTAAAATATAAAACAAATGTGATATCTCTTATTTTCAATGATTAATATTGTTTGATAAAATTCATTTTAGAAACCGATTCATTGATGCATGTATTTATGATTGAAGTTTGTCTAGTAAAATATATTTACACATCTGTAATTATTTTTGTCAGGCATATTTAGTAAAAATCTATATACATATAGAGAGTGAATTGTAATTATTTTATATTAAGAAAAATTAGAAAAATAATTCAAGCAGAACAACAAAAAAAAAGAATCAATCAAATAGGAGAATGAAAACGATGTTATTTTTCTAATCTTTACCAGTTGCTACAATATGATAGATATATATAAGATGAATCGTATAATTAACAATCTCAAAAAAAGGTAAAATGTCTTCTTAGTCATTTGTTTTATCAATCAAAAGGAAAAGTAATTTATTTCTTTTCAATATTATTGTTTCTTATCTTTGATTATTATTCTTATCAATGAAATCTGACGAACCTATTATTTCAAATGAATATATAACATGTTATTCAGATCGTTTAGTTATTCATTTATATTATTTTCCTTATGGTAAAAAAACAATTAAATATAAAGATATTCAATTATGTGAATTATGTCGATTTAATACGTTGAGTAAATTCAAATATAAAAAATGGGGAATGGGATTATCAGCTATTTGGTGGCATTCAGATATACGTCGTTATTATCGAGCACATTATATTCTTTTAGAAACAAAACAATGGCCTAAAATAGGTCTTACAATGGATGATAATCATATTGATGAGATTTATCAATTAATTAAACAAAAGATGAATAATGATGAATTAACAAAAACTTTACCACAGAAGATAAAACTTAATGATAGTAAACAACATGAACATACTATCAGTAAAATAATAGAGAAAAACAAAAGTGAATATCGATATTCGATGGATAGTTATGGACAAGGATATGCCGAATGGTAATGACATATGAAATTAATAAAATAATAACGATAAAACAAAACTCAAATTTATCTTTTCTTCTTAGATTTTCATACTACTTTTTTCTGTAATTTAAAATATTAAAAACAACTCAAATGAATTTTCATAAAACTTATTATCTATATTTTAGTGCATAGGATCACATAGAAACTTTTTAACATTTTAATCGATAATGTATCATGTAACTATGATTTCATCTGCTATTGAATATTCTTTATTATTATAAATAATCTAAAACCAAAAGTCAAGTTATTCATTTAGCTGTTACGACTATCCATTTATCGGAATTTAATAGCATCCGTGATTGGATATCAAAAGATATTGATAGAAAGTTTAGCGACCCTATATCAGATTCGATCTATACTTTAGGAAAAACTTTTCGCGCGTTTGGTCGATAATGTAAATATTTTATCCATATGCACTGGCATACCTATTTTGATTAAACTATTCAATATAGAGAGAGAAAAAAACAGTTGGTGCTAGACTTGGTATGATTATAAATGAATCATGTTTCTAATATATCAACGCTGACTTTCTTAAGTCTACTAGACAATTCATCGATGATCGAATGAACAAATATAGCTCTATTAGTATGACTAATAAAATATTATTTATTTAAATAAACAGATATATCTTTGAGATTACAAAAAATAAATCTTTTCGACATTTAATAGCTTTATTTTATAACAAAACAATAAATAGGTTCATGCTTTACTTTTTACAAATTCAAGATTTTTTTTATATGATTCAACATCTGGATGATCAGAAGGTAATGAATGTTCAATAATTCTAAGAGCCCATTCACAGTATTCAATAGCTTTTGAACGATCACCCATATGAGAACATACCATTCCTATTTGCCCGATAGAACAGGCTAAATCATGATGATTCGGAGGAAGTGTTTTTTGACGAATCTCAAGTGCTTGTTTATGAAATAAAAGTGCTTTTGAATATTTACCCAAATTTTCATACGCGCCTCCGATATTGTTGTAACAATCAGCCACATTAGGATGATTTGAAACGAGTGTCTTTTGAAAGATTTCCAATGCTTTTTTATAATACGAAAGTGCCTTCTGGTGATCTTTCATACTTTCATATATTCCTCCGATATTGTTATGAGATGTAGCTAAATCAGGATGATCTGGAGGAAGAATTTCTCGATTTATCATAAGTCCTTTCTCATAATACAAATGCGCTTTTGAGTAGTCATTCATACTAGAGTATACTGAACCGAGATTGTTATAAGAAGCAGCAAGAGCAGATGAATCTGGTGAAAGCAGTTCCCGGTTGATTTCAATTGATTTTTCGTATCGATGAATAGCTTCTTCATATTGTCCTTGACCATTCTTAATTATTCCTATCATATGATTCAAATGTGCTTCTTCACCTGGTTTTGTTACTTTTGTAAGTAATAAATCATATAGTTGTTCAGCTTTATCGTATTGATTTAGTTTAATTAATAATGCACCTAATCGATACCATCCTTTATGACCAGACATTGTTTCTTTTCTTATATGCTCCGTTAAAGCGCATAATTGTGGATCATTATCACTAGTTAATGTTAATTCTACTTGCCAGAGACGGCTATTGTTTTTTTCGATTAGTTTCATTGATCCAATACGAAAAATGGCATGCATAGAAAAGAGAATTTCCTCTTCTTTTCGAAAAGCAGTAATATCATGGATCTTAGCAAAAGGTGTCGATGATTTAGATGGATCAATTTTCATAATAAAAAGAATACCTATTAGGTGAGAGGTTTCAATACTTCGTCGAGCGAAACCGAGCGATATATCTCGATCTTTGCTTGTGGATAAAAAACTATGAAAAGATAATAATCCACCGTATGCTTTCGTCAATTGATCAACATCTGTCTGAGGTAAACCTTGGCCACGGTATACAGTAAAAGTTTTCGATTGATGATAGTCACTATATTGTTCGGAATGAAGCTTCGCAATATGTTGATGAAGATCTCGAATGAAGAAGCCTAATTTAATGATTAAATCGATTTCCATTGTACGTAATGCTCTATTCAACATGGAATAAAGAAAACAGTTATATGTATACCACCAGACAGGTTGATGATCATGATATTCTTTTTCGATTTTATCGACATGTTTCAATTCGATATTATGATCGGCAGCATGCTCTCGACAATATGTAAGGAAGTTATTGAAACATTCCTGTTCGAAATCTATAGTAAGTAAGATTTCTTTTAATATTTGAGTATACATAAATGATTGATCAAGTTCATTCAAATTTTTATTTGAAGTTCCATCAATTGTCTTGACAAAACTCATGAAGACAGAATTCTGATCACAATCTTCGGCGGCTTGTTTAAGTGAGTCACATATCGGTAAGATACTTGTGGATACTTCTTTCACTTTGGACCATTGTTGTGTCCATTGTTCATGTACAGTTTTGTTTCCACAAAAAATATAAATGGCATTTATCTGTGATTTATCATGAACAATTGGAACAATTATTTGACCGAGTGCTCCAGAAGAAATCATAAAGATTCTTTCATCTGTCATATCATTAATAGATGCAATACATTCATCAACATCGGTAAATGTTAATATATCATTTACTACATGTCGTAATTGTACAATGGTATTCATACAACCAATATCATTCACATTGTCACTACTCTTATCTAACCATATAAGACAAAAATTTTGAACAGTACGTCCATAAGACTCTCGATCTGATTGTAATGTAGATGTATTGCCTAGAGGTTCGATATCCCTTCTTAGAACCTTATCAATAAGTCTCTTCATTCGGCTGTGCATATGACTTATTGAACTCGAAGAATAATATTAAAAATATACGTTATCAATAAAAAAACAGGACAGTCAGTAATATTTCACTATTTTTCTTCATACAGTACAGCAAAGCATCTGTTTTGATGATTGGTTAGAAATCAAATACTTCTTTTTCTATCATAAAGGTATGTTTTTTTTTTGATTTTTTGTTGACTATGCTTCATGTTTTATATAAGTACAGTCCACATGAGACAGCGAAAACAGAACGTCTATGTATATATTTAAAGCAATACAGGATGCTCATGTATTTTGTCTCTGTCAGCGCAAGAAGAACGACAAATATGTCAATCAAATGATATCATAAAACGATTCACGTGTATTTATTTTGATTACATGTATGATATTTTTCGTAAAAGAAAGTACGTAGGAAGTAATTGTTTGTAGTTCCGAATTTGTAAATAGAAATGAATAATATTTATCTTTTATTACTTAATTAATAAATATATCACGACGAAATCAAATAATTTATCTCTTTTGGTATTTTTCGTTATAAATAGTATGGAATAAAATTTCGTTTTATTCTACCAATTAAAACTAATTTAATTTATTATATAAAAAACTGTTTTGCCTTCACATTTATTCTAATAGTATAATTATTAATATATTATAGTTGTATAGAACATTAAATCAGTTCATAACGTTTCGAAATATAATATAAATAGCTTTTGATATCTATAAAAAGTTGAAAATAAAGTAAAGTCATAGTTAAATACGAAGAAAAAAACAGGTAGCTTGCTAAGAAAATATCAATATAATAGTTTATAAACCAAAATTAAAGATTGACCTAATAAAAGATATCCAAAAATTACAGTAGTCGATACAAAATGTTAGATAATGTATTTATTAATTTATTTCACTTTATAATCTGTATTTATGTGACAAAAAGTTCTTTAAATTAGACAGTTTATAATATTGAAGATATGAATTAGAAAAATCACATGTAAAAATAATATCAAAATCATAAAAAATGTTTTTACAATATTTAAAACAGTCGTAATTATATTTAAGAAAGTCATAAAATTTAAAATCATTCTTTTTTTAATTATTATTATCATGGCAAATTGTGAATTATAATCAATTTCATTGGTGTGAAATAATAGAAAAAAGTATTTTATTTTCTCGATTATTTTATATATAAATGAAATTGTTCGACTGACTTCGTACAAATTTTAATTAACAAAATGTAATTATTTATTCTTTTTCTTTTTAGTATCAAATATCCTGTGACAATAATTTCAATTTTATAATAATTAAAAACTCGATAACAATGTTTTCTTTTATCTTTTAATGAAATATTTTTTCCTGTTAATATGTAATATAATGTCATTGAAACCACATCTTTTTTTTAACAGATATTTTTTTCCAATGACTACTTATTAAACTAGAGAGACTTTTGAAAAAAAATGAATGAAAGACATATAAATACTAGTGATAATTATTGAAATATTAGTAGAAAGTAAAACATGTTTTGGATAATTTTTATTTTATCATTATTTTCCAATGTTAATAGTATTCCTATTGGGAAAATAGAAAATTATATAATGATTGGTACTATAAATAATTCAATATTAAATATAACTCAACAAGAATGTATTTGTCAATTAATACAATCTAATAAATTAATATTTGCTGTAAATTATTTACCAATAAATCAGACTTGTCAATTATTTTATTCTAATACAAGTTCAATTATAATTCAATATTATTTTAATTCGACTTTTATATTTATTAATCAATCATTATTATCAATAACGAATATTCAAACAAATCGTAAGTTTATTAGAATTAATAATTTCAAATCTTTGAAAAATTTCATAAGTTAAAATTTTTTGTGTGAAATATTACTATGTAGTTATTTAAAGAAAAATGCTTCAATTTACACTCGACATGTTCTACTCAAGAAAATCAGTCCGACTGTTTATTTATGTGCTTGTTTTTGTATAATGAAAAATAAAAATAGAGCAATGTGATTTATTATTGTATAACATAAAAATAAACTTATCTAAGTTCTAATTTTCTCTTTTCCTTGTAGCAGCTGTAAAATATATTTTAGAATGCTGTTTCTAGTTGTTCTGGTTCTTATTACTAGAATATCTCATTGTTACATAGAATCCTTTCTAAGATTTTTTCATCCTTCCATCCAGATAAATACGAAGTTAAGAATGTAAGATTTCCTCTCTATTCTGCTTTAGATATTCACAGAAATATCAAAAAGTTTTGTCAATATCTGTTATGAGTTCCGTTATGATTATCATAATGAGTAGATAGTAATAGCAATCAAAATTCTAGACTGATAAATTCTGACAAGGTTTTGATAGAATTTGCTTACATTCTTAAGTCTTTTTCTTCTATAAGAAGCTTTTTGAAACTTCATATATTCGTCAAAAGTTGAAACATCTTGTTTCGCTTTGAGAAACTGATTTTACTATAAAATATATTCTTCGTAGCTACCTTTTCCTTCATAAATACTACGATATTTACTACAACAATGCCTATTTCTACTTCAGCAACAACATCTACAGTATCAACAGTGATAACAACAATGGCATCATCAACAACAATAAAGACTACAGAGCAATCAACAACACTGGCAACAACAGCATCAACTGCAGCCTCCTCATCAACTACGATCGCATCATCATCGACAGAACAATCAACAACACCAGCAACAACAATATCGACTACAGTACAATCAACAATAGCAACAACGATACGACATATAGTCCCACCAGGAATGCCGCATATAATCTCACCAGTAATGATAGCTGGAACACCAATTACAGTCTCACCATCTGTTGAAGTTGGAACATCAATTACAGTCTTACCATCAACAGAAGCTACACTAATTACAGCCCCAGCATCAACACCAGAAGAAATACCAATTACAGTCCCACCATCAATAGAAGCCATACCAGTTGCAGTCCCATCATCAATAGAAACTGGAGCACCACTTACAGCCTCACTACCAATTGAAGCTACACCGGTTGCAACCACATCACTTGTTGAAGCTACACTAATTACAGCCTCAGCATCAACATCAGAAGAAATGTCGGTAGAGACATCAGACGAAATACTAGAAGAAACACCAATTACAGTCCCACCATCGACAACAGCGGCAACAACATTAATAGCATCGACAATTAATACTGCAATAAGTACGGTTTTAAGTACAGCTTGTTCATCTATCGTGGATATTGCAGCAGACTTTAAACCAGGGAAAATGAGTTTTTTTTTTCTGAAAGACAGATAAAAAACATTGTTGAAACAGTTTTACAGGATTCTAGTATACAAATGATTTAGTACATGTTATTATAGTTTTGAGAAAACATAGTTAATTCGAAGTACATACGGATATGACTGGAATTTGAGTTTTTAGTTTCATCGTACTAATTAAACTTTATTTGAATAAACAGTTACAGAAGGTCGTTTTTCACAAAATTTTATATAAAGATAGGATATTCTCAACTTACGAATTGACTGATATATCTAACTACCATTAGCTTGATTTCTTTGAATTGTAAATTATTTTTTATTTCAAGTACCTACACTAAATTGGGTGATAAACGGTGATGGAGAAACTGGACCATGTGAAACAGGTGAGGGCGATACACCTCCAACCAGTTGGGGATATAATGGAACGATTACACAAATATATTACAATACAAGTGACTCTAAACAGATGTCTACAGATCCAGGACCTAGGTAAAACTAAGTTATTAATATTATCATAGATCAAACATTTTTATTTACAGTGATCGGGGAAACTGTTTCTTTTATGGTCAAGACTCAGCGATGACTTCAATGTGGCAAACAATACATATGACGGATTTAATCGATCCTTCTCTGATTGATAATCAAATAGTTTGGTTCAACCTTTCCGCATGGATTGGTGGATATAGTACTGAAGATGATAATGCTGAAATCCTCATGATATTTATCGATGAATTCAATCTAGAAATGGATAATAATAACATTGAACTTGGACCGGTATTAGCTGCAGATCGTGATTATGTAACTGAATTGCTCTTTCGACAAGTTACTGGACTTGTACCAATTGGGGCTCGATCTTGTAAGGTGATAGTTACAATTACTCGTTTTGTAGGCACTCATGCTGATGGAGATATTGATAACATTGCTCTTTTTTTTTATCAATAATGATTATTTACTGTCATTATCTTAAATGTTATACATGACTTGAAAGTTGATATTCAGTTTAAGGAATAACTAATAACTGTAATATTGCATAATTTTTCAAATAAATTTATTTGCATCAATAGACATAACTCATATATAAGAGATACTAATCTTTTTATTCTACACACAACTCGATACACGAGAAAAGTTTTTCTTAGTATTATCATGAGAGTGAGGGTGGATGGGTGGATGGGTGAAGGTGTGGTTGGGTGTGAATGAGGGTATGGATGTGGATGGGTGTGGTTGTATATAGGTGTAGGTATGGAGTGAGTTTTGGATGAAAATAATATCCACACCCACCCTCAGTTGTATCGGCTGTCAGAAATAACGGTTGCTATTTACGTTAATAGAAAAACTCTGATTTAGTAGAGCATTTAAAGATGTATATTCAAATAATGCACACCTACACATCGAACATTGGAAATAATATTTAAAAGATACTGAGAGTAATATATATCGTGGACCATTTGTTATGTAAAAACTGACACTATATAATCAGAGAAAAATTTACACAAACTTAGTTACATAGAAATAAACTATTTGAGAGGAAGGTTAAGAAAAGTAGTAACTATCCAACTAAAACTATATCAAAACAACACACTGGACTGGGTTTTGAAAGTAATTGAAAATATTTCATTCTTTCGATCATTTAAATGCACAGAAACATTTTTTTATGAGTTTTAATTGTTACTCAGATTAGTTTTCTGCGCAAATTGTTATTACAGGAGTAAGCCGTCAGCTAGAACGCTCATCGGCTCTACCAAAAACGTCAGCTACCACCCGTCGGCTTCAGCAAAAATCGGTTGACGGCTTATACCTCTAATTATTATTCACGTATATAAAGTATAATTTATGAACGACTAGCAACGATAATGATTCCGCAAAAAATCTCTGTCAGCAATATGGTCGATTAATAAAAATGTTTAGTTGAACATTTGCTACCAGCATACATGCGTAAATACCATGATTTTGATGCGTATGTGTGTTTTCATCTAGTGCTAATTTATGATATTATAAAAAGTCAGGACTCCATTCACAAAGTGGCGGAACAAATTAGTTGATTCAATGTTTTTTTTTGAGGTAAAGAGAAAAAATTGTGATGTGCGAATAGAAATGTATAAATAGTGTCTACTTTGTTCATTTTATTCAACAGTTAAAACAATGATGTTTTTCATAAGTTTAATCTGTTTTATACTCTTACCTTCGATAAATCCTCAACTTCAAATCAATCTTCATTTAACCGATTGGACAAATTATAATGAAATAAATGTTGATCTGCAACATGATTGTCTACATGTTCCTACTCATTTAGTTGAAGATAAAATTGAATATCATCAAGTCATTTCGTATTGTATGGGCGAATGGCCTTCAGAATGGAACATAGAAGAAAATAGTTTTCATCAAAAGTATAGTTTTTCTCAACTTAAAATACTTAATATTACTAGTCAACAATTATATCTTTGGTCAGCTCCTATGGATATTGTTGAAGAATATGAATCCTATTTAAATCAAAGTTTATTTTCAAATCAATCATCACCGATAATGGCAACAAAGTTATTCTACAATTGTACACAACCAAGATTTGGGCCTGTATGTCAATATTCATTAGATATTTCAACTTCTTCTTTTCCTTCATCACTGAAAGAAATTATTCATGATTTTTATCTGCAAGCATATAAACCAATAACATGGACATGTTATACTCATTTAGAATGTAATCGTGGTACAAGTACAGCTTGTCTTGATTGGGCTGAAATTTGTGATGATCATATCGATTGTCTCAATGACGGAATTGATGAAAAACATTGCTGGGAACTTGAAATCAATGAATGTGAAGAAAATGAATATCGATGCAAAAATGGACAATGTATATCGAAGATATTTTATCATGAAGGTCCAAACTCTTTGGATTGTATTGATACAACTGATGAAGGCGACCAAGGGCGCGAAGATATTCGTCATCTTTCACAAGAACCAATATTTAGATTCGAAGATGTTACATGCGACAATAATGTCCACAGTTTGAGTCCAAATATCCGTTTTACAACTTCATGTGTACATGGTCGACATGATCTTATTTTAGAAGACATGTTTTTGAACAAACCAAATTCAACATCTGACGAATGTTGGCTTGCATTCAGATGTCAATTTAATATTCCTCGTTATGCATATCCATTATGTGGCAATATGTGCAGTAAGAATGGAATATGTCAAGAAATTATCAATAAAACGTGTCCTGATATATTTTTTATTCCAAATGCTCCATTATTCTTTGGACATATTTATTTCGCTTACACAAAAAAAAAATGCAGTGCAGGCACGTAGTCGATTTCTTTCACCACCGTATGTATGTTATAATGACCAATTATGCAATGGATTTTACACAAATAGAACATTATTAACATTTAATAATCTAACATGTCGTCGTCCTGAAGATTTTCCATTAACCTTTTCTGTTCTAGGAAGAAACGATTGGTTAAATGCATATGTTACACCTCTTTACAAAAAATTGCATAAATGCAATACAATTATTCAGAATATTTCCGCAGTTTGCAATAATTCAATAATGTATCAATGCGTTAATTCGTCCAAATGTATTTCAAAAGATCGTATTGCTGATGATTTCATAGATTGCGATTATGGAGATGATGAAGATCCGATTGTAATCTATGATATTTGTGTAAAAAATGAATCTAAAACGCTTTTTAAATGTACAACAACAGCTAAATGTATTCATCATGAAAAAGTAAATGATGGTATATGCCACTGTGGACTTAATGAATATGGTTTGTGTGATGATGGAGATGCAAAATGCCGAGCTTTTCGAACACATTTATCATTTTCAATTGTTTGTGATGGTTTTATCGATCTTTTTCCTATTAATATCGATGGACAGAATGTAACAGATGAAACTGAATGTGAACTATGGCAGTGTAATAATACGTATACTCGATGCGACGGCATCTGGAATTGTTTTAATGGAGCTGATGAAGTTCATTGTAATACGTCGGTATCATTGAATTGTCCGTCCAATCATCATATATGTGTTTTGCCTAGTACGAATCAACTTACATGTTTATCTCTTGCAAAGGCGAACGATGGAATTATCGATTGTTTGGGTGCTACCGATGAACCAAAATTATGTCGATCAACCGATTATATTCATAGCGAAAAAGCGTTTTACTGTTCCAATGATAGCTCTTCACCTTGTCTAAAGTCTTCAAATCTTTGTAATAGCAACGACGAATGCATCAACGGAGATGATGAACAGTTTTGTTCCTCTGCACGAAATTTTTCCGCTCATTATAGTATTTGTCAACCTGCATATTACGAATTACGTTCTGATGTCGAAGAATTTCTTTGTGAACGCATGGCACTTCGATATAAAAGACAACCTGTATATTTTTCACTCGACACAATCAAATTTAACAAAGACACAATACACTTAATTCCACCTGACATAGAATCTGTTTGTAAACTCAAGGACGTTTGGCAGAAAGGACAAGCTGCACATTTTCCACTGGATACAATCAAATTCAACAAAGACATAAACACAATACGCATAGTGCCACCTAACATGAAATCTATCGTCCATCATGATCAATATCGTTGTCATCGTGGTCTTCCTTTGCGTATCTGGCTAAATCAAGAGAAAAACTTGACTAATATCACTTGTCTTTGTCCACCAAGTTTTTATGGTAACATTTGTCAATATCAAAATCAACGAGTTAGTCTAACTATGAGATTTCAAGCATATTCGGATTCTCGACGAACATTATTCGCTCTTGTAATTACACTTATCGATGATAGTGACAAACGAATTATTCATTCACATGAACAATTCACTTATTTGTATGTTAATGATTGTCAAAAGAAATTTAACGTCTATCTACTTTATTCTACTCGACCAAAAAATGATACACAAAATTATTCGATACATATTGATATCTATGACAAGACCTCATTAAATTATCGAGGAAGCTTATTAATACCAATTAAATTTCCTTTCTTACCTGTACATCGTATCGCTGTTCATCTTAATATTCCACGTATGAATGACGATATTCAAAGTTGTACAAATCAAACATGTGTACATGGTCAATGTATGATATATTCAGAAGATTCAAAAGGTACTCCATTTTGTCATTGTAATTATGGGTGGTCTGGAAAACACTGTACTATACCATATGCTTGTAAATGCTCATCTGGTTCATTATGTGCTGGTATATTAGCAAACAATCGATCTATTTGTGTTTGTCCTATGAACAAATTTGGTCCTCGATGTTTATTTAATCATACAGTTTGTCAATTTAATCAAAATAATACATGTTATAATGGTGGCAAATATATACCCATTGATGAATATATGCAAAGAGATGATAAGACATTCTTTTGTATGTGTCCGAAAGGTTTTACTGGAGGACGATGTGAAATACCTGATAACAAAATGACACTATCATTTCATAAACATATTCAATTATCACAAACATTGATCATTCATTTTATTACAATCAACAACGATAGTTCTCCTGAGAACAGTAGTATTCTCAGTAGAATTCCTATTCATCAAAAGACAGCTATTATTAATTGGAGAAATGAATTTCATATTGCTTTTGCTCAACTATCTGATAAAGATTTTTATTTAATTACTGTTCAAAAAATAAACAATCTATCGTCAATATTTGAAAAAACAATCAATCCATCGGATCGTTGTAAGCATATAAGTGAAGTATTAAATGAAACGATCGTTCGATTACATCCTATTCGTCGTATTAAATATTATCATCTGCCATGTCATCAAACATCACCATCTTTACCTTGTTTTTTCGATGATATTCATTTTTGTTTATGCACTGATTTTAATCAGCAACGGATCGCTAATTGCTTTGAATTTAATTACATGAAAAAATTTGATTGTTTCGGTGGAAGCAGCTGTAAAAATGGTGCACAATGTTTACAAGATAGTAGTAAATGTCCAAAAACATCAGTGTGTGTTTGTCCTCAATGTTACTACGGAGGACAATGTCAATTTAAGTCAACTACATTTCGTCTCTCACTTGATGCCATATTAGGTTATCATATTTTACCACATATTAAGCTTACACAACAACTAACTATAGTCAAATTCAGTTTGGCACTAACTATAATTATGACTATAGCAGGATTTATTGATGGTATATTATCGGTGATGACATTCAAAGATCAAGAACTTCGAAGTAGAGGTTGCGGTGTTTATCTATTAGGATCGGCAATTACAACACTATTTACTATGAGTATGTTTGCATTAAAATTTTCAATACTCATTATTACACAAATGTCATACACTACAAATCGATCATTCCTAAATTTTCAATGTATTTCAATTGATTTCTTGTTACGAATTAGTCTTTATATGGATCAATGGTTAAACGCATGTGTAGCCATAGATAGAGCAATTACTGCTGTGAAAGGAACTAGTTTTAATAAGAAAACAAGTAAAAGATTGGCTCGATATGTAATATTAGCTCTTATAGTATTCATAATTAGCACAACTATATATGATCCATTCTATCGGGATCTATTGTATGAAAATAATAATGATGAAGATGATGGTGAAAAACGAATTTGGTGTATTGCTAGTTATTCTTCTGCTGTTGAGATTTACGATTCGTTCGTTAATGTATTTCATTTTGTTGTTCCATTTTTTATCAATTTAATCTCAGCAATAATCATTATTCGAACAACTATTGCTTTACAAATAAATGTTCATCCTGATGAAAATTATCGAAAAATTTTATTTGCACAACTTCGACAGCACGGCCATCTTATATATGGATCTATTTTCTTAGTTATCCTAGCAATACCACGTATAATCATTTCTCTTATTTCAGATTGTATGAAAGCAATTGTTAATCCATGGCTTTATCTTATTGGATATTTTATTTCATTTATCCCGTCTACACTCACTTTTGTTTTATTTATATTACCATCAAAAAATTATAAAGGAGTATTTCGAAAAACGATTCAACAATATCTAACAACAATAAAGAGACATTTACATATCGATTGATAAAAGTCAAATAAATAACTTACAATAATTATATGCTTGGTATAAAAGTTGCTCTTTTAGACATTGGCGCATGAGATTACACGTCAGTTTTTGTAATACAATGTATAATGTTTTGTCTAACAGCTTCTTTAGAACTATCCATCGATTGCATCAATGCAAAATAATAATTATACTGCTTCTACATTATAGCGCTACGAATAGTTTAATATTATCTCTGCTTCAATCTTTTAAGCTTTTTTTGCAATACTATTTTCTGCTTTTTATGTCAGCTAAAATAAATTTTATAGTACACAATTCATTTGGTGATGATAAAATCGTTGAAATATATTTATTCTTTAATCTACAGAATTTGCATGGTATGCAATAATATACATATGAAAACTATAACACTATATGGCAATACTAGAATCGTTTTGAAAATCGAAATGTTATCTTGAGGGTGGGTACGGGTATGAGCATGGGGTGAGGGCTAGATGAAAATAATATTCACACCCACACCCTTAATAGATGACTACGTCAATTTTTTTTTGTCTAAAAGATAATCGACAAAGTAGACAAATATTAAGGTGACGATATAAAACATGCGAGTATCACACCAGATCGTACGATATATTTATCTCTGATAAAAGAATGTTTTTTTTTATCTTCAATGTCAAAATATATGAGCTGATTTATTATGATAAATATTATAAAAAAAAATAAAAATGAAAATTATATTAACAAAATTAATAATCAGTTGAACGAGATTTATGAGCTAAATAAAAAGAATTTATAATTGATGTATAAAGAATTTTACATAAAAATTTTGGTTTTAATAATGAATAAGGAGATTTTTCTTGAAAAACAACATGAATAAAAGCTGTTGTTAATTCTCCTGATTGTTCAGCACATTTAATTAACCAATAAGTATACCATTGTAAAAATTGCATAAATAAAGGCATTTTTGGTTGAAGACAATTTAATGTTGAATCATTTGTTCTTTGATAAGTTTTTGTTAAACCATTTCTATCTGTTTTAATTAATTTTAATGTTGGTACAGCCCAATCATTTGTTATTGAACCAAGCCAACATTCTTCACTTATTGATGAAGCTTGTTGATTATAAATATATGAAATATCTTTTAATTGATAATTTTCTTGAAAAATTTTCTCTAATTGTTTTGCTTGTCGACATGCATGAGTCATACCTTGACCATTTTTTGGATTAAAAACACACATTGAATCACCTAATAAAATATAATTTTCAGGCCAATTTTTTCCAACTAATTCAACATATTTTCTATCATCAAAAGCACGTCGATATGGAAGTAATGGACTTAAAATGTTTGTTGATTTTAATATTAAATAATAATCAATTGGAAGATATTCTTTAACCCATTCTAATAAATTTTCAACGGAATCATTTGGTGGATATTCATTATTTACACAATATACAGCAAAATTAGATAATAATCCTAAAGAATTTTTATCCGAAGTATTTATTTGTCGAATTGGTGTTGTGAGAAAACCTTTATTAAAATGTGGAGCATGAACTGCATGTCCACCAACAGATATTGAATCTAATTGAGTATTTCCTGTTTTAAATCTTTCACCAACAAATGAAACATAACCAGTTCCAACATGTAATTGTTCAGTTGGAATAATTAAATTAAAATTTTGTTTTAACCATTTTAAAGATGATGTATGTCTTCCTGTACAATCAATTATAAAATCAGCATACATATCAATTTGTTCAGTTGAATTTAATTTCGATCGATATTGAACTCCATGAACTGAATTAGTTGATTGATTAACAATTAATTGTGTTACTTTTGTATTAGATAACCATTGAATTTGTTGATTATTATATTGTAAACATAATTCTCTTCTTAAAACAGTTTCTAATGTAAAACGATCAATACAAAACCAAGAAAGATCTTCAGTTAAATTTGTATTTAATAAAACATCACCAATAGCAAAACGAAATTCATTATTTAATGATGCAATTTTAGCACCATAAATATTTAATAATTTATTTTTTAAATTAGGAAATAATTCAAATAATATTTTACTACCTTGACCTTGTAAAACATGAATTTGATAACTTTGACTAACACCTGCACGACCTAATGAATTAGCATTTTTTAAATTACAACGATATTCTAATAATTCATCAGGTGTTGATTTCATTAAAATATCATTTAATACATCATCACTTTCAATAATTGTTATTCGTTTAAAATATTTTGATAAATAAGCAGCTGTTGTCATTCCAGCTATACTTCCACCCATTATAATTGCATGATCATGTTTTTCCATTGATTTATTCTTCTTTTTATTAATAATAACAAAAAGAATTATTCCAATAATAATCAATAATAATATCGAATACATAACAAATAGAAAAATAATATGTCTAGAAGGAAAGAAAAAAAAGATTATTTAAATATTTTTTTTTTACAAAGTAGATAAGAGAATGGTTAAAACATCTGATGACACTCGTCTGATGTTTATTTCATTGGATATATATGATATCGTACCATATCACACCATATATATATGATAAATTGCACTCAAAGAAGATTCTTATCTTAGTCATAAAGAATCTTTGACCTTTATTGAAACAATTTTAAATGTTTGCAAAAGAAAAGAAAAAGAAAATATTTTTATGTTATTGTGTAGAATAATTTTTAATAAATCTTCCAAGAGCCCAAATAGGAAAAATATTTCTATAATTTGTATAACTAATCATACAATTTCCATTAAAAACACCACTAATACTTTGTTGATTCCAGTCACCATTTGAAGATTGTTTATTAAGAATAAATTGAATACCTTTTCGAATTATATTTGAATCAGCTTTTGCCGACATTAATGTTAAAACAGCCCAAGATGTATTAACAACTTGAGATTGTTTATGAGGAACATAAGTTTTATGAACACAACTTAAATAAGATTCTCCCCATCCACCATCAGAATTTTGTTTTGAAATTAAAAATTCAATTGCTTTTGTAATTATTTTTGATTTTGGTGATTCACCAACAGTTATTAAAGCTTCAATAGCAAACCATGTTCCATATGTAAAACATACAGCCCAACTTCCATACCAACTTCCATCGATTTTTTGTTGTTTTTTAATAAATTCAATTCCACGTTTAATTGAAATATCAATTTCTTTTCGTCGATAATTTGAATAAATCGTTTGTGAACGAAATTTCCATAATGCTTGAATACAAGCAGATGTACATTCTGTATAGGAATAATCAACCATAATTCCTTGAAATACTTCAGCAGGATTTAACCATTCTAACCAAGAACCTGAACGTTGAAGTTCATAAGATGCCCATCCACCATCTTTATTTTGAGTACTTAAAATAAAATTAATAGCATCTTCTAAACGTTCAGATGTTATTAAACGTGGACCATTCGACATTTGTTCATGTAATAATAATGTAGCTTTTATTCCTTCTGATGTACAATCTGTAATTGGCCAACCATGATCTCTTGTTGAAAATGGCCATCCACCTTTTGATATATGACGATAATATTTAACATGATCTTTAACATCTTCTAATACTTGACTTATTTCTAAATAATAATAAGCTGAATTAAGACAATTTGTATATAAATGTTCTAATCCTGTTTCTAAAATAGCTTGAATTGAAAAAGCTGTATCCCATAATTGTGAACCATTATAACCTTGAATTTTCATTCCATCTTCACTTAACCATAAATAATCTTTAACACGATTTAAATGTTGTTGAAATTGTTGACTTTGACGTCCTTTTGAATACCATATTGATAACATATTTATAAATTTATTTACTGGTCCAATATTTATATAATTTGTATGTTCATCTTCTGCTTGAATATAATCTATTAAAAATTCACTTGCTTTATTACGTAATTGACGATTATATACAGATTCATAAGTATTTGTAAAAATATTTAATATTTTTAATAAATATGTTTGTGGAGTATATAAATCTAAGGAACTAATTGAATTTCGATGTTTAGTAAAATCAATCTCATGATATTTTTCAATATATAATTCATTTCGTAATTCTTTAATAAGTGGAGTTATTTCACCAACAATTTTTTCAGCATAAACATAACTCATTGGTAAATAAACCATTCTACAATGACACCAATATCGTGAAGGATGTACAGATAACCATTCAGGTAATAACCATAATTCAGGAAATAATGAATTAACACCTTCCCATGGCATTACTCCTAATACACATAACCAAAATTTCGCCCAACTTGGAGCATACATTGCACCACCTTCTGATTGAATAAAACTATATGCTTTTTGTAATTGTTCATTATTAAATGGAATTCCTAATAATCTTAATGATATATAGTTTAAAACAGTTCCAAACATTGTTGCTTTATTTTCAATATGAGTTCCCCATCCACCATTTGATAATTGATGATTAAATAAATATTTTATCATTTCATTTTTTTCTTCTTGAGAAAATTCAAATTTTGTTATATAAGATGTTATTATTGCACCAGGTAATAAAAACATTGGACCACCATAATCTCCAGGCCAATGACCATCATCAACTTGTAATGATGAATAATAATCTATTCCATTTAAAACACTTTTAACTACTGATGAACATAATTCATCTTTAAATAAAGGTATATGAAATTTTTCATATTGATTTTCATCAATATTTAATCGTTTAGAATTTTGTTCAATAGCATATTCTCGATAAACTTTATCTGAAGAATTCAAACTTTCTTTATCAAATTCAATTGAATTGGAATTTTCATTTACAAAATATTTCCATATTTGTTGACCACGATCACAAATTAATCGCCAAGCCATGAATACACAATATATAACACTTCAATATCTAAAAAAATTTAATTGTTTAAAAAAGAAAAAAAACTATAAAATAATCTTTTTGTACTCTTTCTTTTTTTCTTTCTCCAGATGATATATAACCTATGTGATATAAGAATTAGATAAGGATTCTTTTTCATATATGAGAAAAAAAACCGTTCTTTCATTTGTTTTATTAACAAATACAACTTGACACGCCATAATCAATCGATTAATAAAAATAAATCGAACTTAGCAATAGTTCTGTGTGTTTTTATTATAAAACGAATAAGAAGTTTATTTTAATCACATTCGATACATTAAAATTTTTGTTTAGTCATCAGACTTACTTGAAAGAATAGAAAAAAAAATATCGAAGCTATTCAAAACGATTAATAATATTTATAAAGATTACATTACTAGCTATAATTGGCTATAATACTTTTGCAATTGTAAAAAAATCAAAAATCATCAAGATGCAATAAAAATATTTGACAATTTATCATATATTTCAGATATTCCTCTAGAACAAATAAAGTATGAGGAAATTTTCACTAAAAACTTCTTTCAATAAATGAGCGGAAAACGAAACTTTTTTTCTCAGCAGGAAAAATAGCAAAGATAATTTGTCTATCTCAATATGTGGTATCCGATGCTTATTGAAAATCTATGCGATCTCAAAATACCACTTCCTCTTGTAAAGTAGATATTCTCGTGGTTACAAAATAGATTTTTTTACATTCCATTTGGAGAAGAAATATCTCGTACAGTAAAGATGAATATAGGCGCTCCTCAGGGATCAGTACTGGCAGCGACTCTCTTTCGTTTACATGTACATTTTCTACCATTCTTTTTCAAAGATATAGAGATACACATATTTGCAGACGACCTAGCAACAGTCTTGGAACGCATATGAAATCATTACATCAAATGATAAAACATAGCTCAGAAGTCTCAATTTTCGATCCAGTAGTCGTTTCTATAACAGATTGATAAAAAGAGCGAAACACACGCACAACTATTAGAAAGAGTTCAAAAGAACACAAAAGAGTCAATTAGATTTTTTCAAATCAGATACTTACTAAATAAATTTTTGCATATATATATGTATTTTCTTCAGTCTTCATACGTCGAAGGAATCTAAAAAATAAAACTTTTTTTCTGTTTTTTGAGAAATAAGATAAAATAAATAAAACATACTTGTGAAGAGGTGATTGAGTTGAAAACAACGAATAAAAAATCATACCTGAATAAATTACATATACACTTCTATTCATCCATTATCTTTGTCATACCTTCTCTCATTCCTCTTCTACATATACTATCATGTATATTTAAATATATAGGTACACGTGAGGTCGCTAATCGATATTGTCTCATTTTCGATTTTATTATTCATTTCTTTTATCTTCTCTTCTTTTCATACGGATCTTATTTTTCGTTTATTCTTTTTTTCTCTTCAAGTGTGAACCTACATTGCCATATTAATATAAATGGACAGATAGAAAATTTATCTTTTTTGTAAGATTTAAGGATATATCTTCGTTTAACTGAAATAAGAGAATTAATTTTGTTGTATAAATCAGAGATAGTCAAGTTACTTTATATGAAAAATTTTAGTGACAAAATCATTCAGATCTTCGTGTATCGACTAACTAATTGTACATAACAATATCAATTGATTGAAAATTAAAACTCGTATCTCGATTATTCCCCAAGGTAAACCATAGACGGATGACACATATATGCGCCATCGACCCTGCGGTTTTTAAAGTCAGAGCTGTAACCACTCGAGTCAGGTCTATTACAACTCCATTGTAATCTTCTTTCAAAGATTAACTGATGGATTATTTTATTCAATGAAACAATCGTCACAGATGCATAATTTCTAACTAATCCAAACTGACTCATATCTACATTTTTTTGAAACCGGTGAGGACCGGTTATAACTCTGATTGAAATCTCCAGATGTCAACTATCTGTTTATCGTTCTGTCTCATATTGCTGTAAACCTATAGAATGTATTATACACATACTTGTGATAAAATTTGAAGGGTATATGAAATTAATAAATAATTAGTTATTGAAAAAGGTTTCTTCTTCTGCTAATTATACTCAAAAAAATAAGCCCGTCGTCAAAAGAGTTAATTAATCTGGATTTGGAATACGCGTCAATGATATTAATTCTCTGAAATTAACACAATTTATTTGATTCTTATACATGAAATGTATAAGAAATATTTCAAAGACAATATCGATTTGAACTACAGTATAAGTTTTATTTTAACACAATACACAACACAAGTTTATAATACATAAGCTATATAATTAGTTTATTTGTTAAATGAATAATAAATTTACGAGATATTTAAGAATGTTTGTACAAGTGGTGCCATTTTATCCACAGCATTTAAAGTGAAAACTTGCTTACGAAAATACTCTCGACTTTCTTTGGATACTATCTGCATTCGAAAGATTATAAGTAATAATTCATTAAAGTATTTGTAAGTATATATTTCGCCCTTTTTATTAATTAAATAGTTCCAAAGTAACTCTATATAATGATTTTGTGCTCGATAAACAGCTAATTCATCTTGTAAAGGTGGTTGCTCTTCATTCATTGACAAACCTTGACTGAAAATAAAAATTAACACCAGAAGAGAGAATAATACTGGGTCTTGTTCAGTCATTGGAAAAAGTGAAAGCATTATATTATGCGTTGCTTCGTGCAATTGAACTCTAATACCACATGGGTCAAAAAATCTACGATATTTTTCATGACATTCTATGTTTTCGGGTGAATTGAGACCATTTACTGATTTATAAATATAACATTTAAATATTGGAAATACCGATAAAATATTAAATTTAATCAGAATAAATCGATCTTCATCATTTAATTTTTCGAATTCATCGATTTGACCAAAAAGATTAATAAATTGTAACGCCGTCTGACTGGCCCAATGTGACCATACAACAAGAGCAGAAGTTTGATCAGTTGCACCATTACCATTAAATGGCTGATTATATTGAAAAATTGATACAAATAATGATCGAATATTTTCAATTGTTAACCAATCATCAATCGATAATGTTCCGAATAACATATCTTCTATTTCATTTAAATCATCATTTTCATGAAAAATATTATTGTCATCTTTATTCACATCCATCAATAACTAAAAAATCAAACAATCATTTATATAATGAACAAATATAATAATTTCCTTTAGATCTTTTTCAATATATATCTATAGTTGTAATATTAATAACACGAAATTAATATAAAACTTACACGATCAATTTCATCCAATGGTTCTGTATGAGATTCTGACTTGGGTACAACATGTGCTGGTGGTGATGTTAATGATGAATTGGTAGATTCTGTTATAGATGAACGTTTCATTGAAATAGTTCGATTTTCTTCAAGACGTTGTTTTCTTCGTTGTTTCTCTTCTTCAGTACGAATAAAATCTTTTCTCATTCCTGCATTTAAACAACGATCTAATCTACATCGTGGACATTTCCGGAGTGAATCATGTGCAACTATACATTTTCTATGACCTGTAAGACATCGAATTTTTTCCTACATAAAAATAATAAAAATGAATATAAAAATAAAAATCAAACTAACTGATGGTTGATTAGCATTTCGACGAAAAAATGCTTTACATGAAGCACAAGAAAGAACATCATAATTAAAACCAATGGCACGATCACCACAAATAGCACAATCCAAATCAAGTGATTTTTTTGATAGTTTAACTTGTTTTGATCGGCCGTGATGAGGTGAATCAAGTGCTCGCTTAAATATTTGATCGTTTTTAGGGTTCTATAAATAAATATTAGATAATTTTAAATAATTTTTATTAAAACTCATTTATACGAACAAGTTCAGATAATTCTGTAAGAATCGCCAAATCCATAATATTGCTAGCATTATTGTTCATTGATGTAATTTGCTCATTGTTATCCAAATCAACAATCTGAGTATTTTTCGGTTTATTTAAAGAAAATTGCCGAATTACATCTTCGTTCGATGTTATAATTATCATTTTAGTTTCGCCAGCCATCATGTTTTTTTTCATGTTTCAATGATAAATTTATGTTCTGTACTGCGTCATTTTTCTTTTCTGCAGCTTATTATATGACGTTTTAAATAGAAAATAAGGACAATAATAAACTATTACAGTTAGAAAAGAAAAAAAACATGAAGGTAAAAAACAGAAGAACAGAGAAAAAACAAAAAAGGAATAGTTATGTGTTATTTTTATACCTTACGAACATTATGATGTAGTCATTTATGCGTCATCGTTCCAAATGTAGATGATGCAACCAATCGTTTTTATATGAAAACATTTTGTTTATTATCAGACTAAAATAACTTTGAAAAAATAAGTTTAATTTATGATAATTTCCTTTTTTCATTTTCAAAAGTATAAATTCATAAAATTCTATTATTTATCAAACATCATCAATCGATCTTTTTGAAGATGATAGATATCTGTGTAAAATTTTGTTTTTTTATGGATTAACTACACAAATATTGATCAAACTTATAGTTTTCTACTAAAACATAAAAGGAAGAAAATTGATTGCAAGAGTTCCAAGTTCTTGATATCGTTTTCATTGATCTATCACATTGAATGTATAAGAAGGATAATGACAGATATAAATGTCCTAAAAATTCTTGAAAATCTAATCAGCATTTATTTCTATTACATCTCTTCTAAAACTTGATAAATCAAATAATATATATTAGAAGGCAAGATCTCCTCAATCGAGACTATGAAAACTCTTTTATTTACATATGTCATATTAAAAACAAAAATAAAACTAAGAAATATGAAGAACAGACTGCATAACTGGTGCAATTTGATCGACTACATTGGATGATATCATTTGACAACGAATAAATTCTTGAGAGTTTTTCGATACTGATCGTATTTGAAACATTGCAGATAGTAATTGAGTAAAATGTTTGCATGCTTGTGATTCACCTTGTTTACTAATCAAATAATTCCAAAGTAGTTGAGTATAATGATTCTGAGCTCGATGAACAGCTAATGGATCTTTTAATAATGGTTCTTCAATATTCATTGATAAACCTGAAGTAAAAGTACACGATCTTATTCAAGATTTTTTCAAGATCCTTCTCGCATATTTTTCTGAACTGATAATGACGAATCCTGACAAGATTTTGTCTAGATCTTGTGAAGGATCCTGAAAAGATTATGAAGAAATATTTTTGAAAAGATTCTATTAAGTTTTCACCAAGATGTGAACTAAATAGTCGCATCAGAATCTTTCCAAGATCCTTGGTGGATCAGACTATGATCTTAGTAGGAAAATAAAAGAATCATTCATAAAACAAAAGTTATTTATCGTGGATGATTCCTGTTAGGAATTCGGAACCTTTTAAAAATAAATGCTTTCAGACTTACAAGAAAATACCGGCCATAACCAGGATTGTTATAAGAAAATAAGACGATCTGGGTAAGATCTTTGAAGGTTACTATTTTTTCTGTTCATGGTCTTCATTTCTCGAAAAAACATAGAAACACCCCTACAAATTACCTACTTGAAGGATCCTGTCCAGATTGGTGCATGATTAATTTCTAAGATTTGCTATAATTCTTGCGTAACGTTTCTCGTGAATGGATATCTACAGATCCTGCAAGGATTCATTTTAGATTTTATTCAAGATCCTAACAAAAATTACTAAAAGGTTTTGATCAAGATTCCTGTAAATTCTAGCTAAGATATGCTCCAAAATCTGCTACGTAAATTCTATAAGGAATTGTAGCTATATCAATCTGGGGTCTTTTCAAATTTCAGATAACATAACTCAAAATTTGAAAGAAGAAAATCTTGCCAAGCTTTGGTCAAAATCTTGCTGAGAAAATACAAGGATCTATATAAGATTTTCGCGGATTCCTATATTGGATATATTCAAACTTTAGTTTTCAAGATCCTATCAAGATTTTTAATTGGTTGTATTGAGGATCCTGTCAAGAATTTGTGGGACAATTTTTCCACGTGTTCTTATTTAATTTTTTCTCAATCTCACTTTAGATTTTATAAATTTATGCGTTCGAACTAAGTCTCAAGATTAATTATGAATGATGAATCAAAAGTAGAACTGTAAGTGTCAGTTTAATTAGGAGCAATTATATTATCGGAGTGAAAGGAAAAGTTACCCGGCTTGCACAGTATTATGTGTGGTTGAATTTCAAATAGAATCGTTGTTGATCAAATATTCCACTCCCATTTTTCAAATCTACTATAGAACGGATAAATCGTCATTTTCATTCAGCTTGAAGCTTTCCGGCATATCGAAAAAGATATTGTTTTAGTTAATGAATTTCAGATAAGTTTATTACCATAATTATTCATTGATATTAGATGTATACTCTTGGTAAAGCCATTGTAAAATCTGTTAATCGGCAATACAATAAGTTATCATCGAACTATGAAATAATCGTTACTCAAGAAACAAGTATCAATCATAGTACTACTGAAACTCATATTAATTCTTCAACTTCTCGACGTCATTTTGTTCGACTCTCCGATATTTCGAATCAACATACTGACGTTGTTATCGGTAACTTTTATTTTCAATTTGTCATCATCTTTTAAAAAACTATCTATAGAATTCTTTAAAACTAGAATCAACGATATATATCATATTAATTATAAAATTGTCATATATCATCCTGTATATTAGTGAAGCGAAATTAATATCAATTTTTGTTTTTATTGTCTACGTTATTTAAAAACACACTTGGATATGTTTTACTTTTCACATATAATCCTAACCAGGGATGCAAAAGTGACGAAAACCGGCTCACCGTTAACCGTAGCTAAACGATAACCGTTGGGACCGGTGAAACGGTGAAACGATGACCGCTTGGACCGGTGAACCGGTGAAACGATAATCGTTTGGACCGGTGAACCGGTGAAACGATGACCGCTTGGACCGGTGAAACGGTGACGATTAATCGGCCAAACGGTGAAAGCCGGTGAACGCTTTAAAACCTACGGTGAAGACCGATACTTTGGCACCATTAGTCACCGTTTTTCTGAAGGTGTATAAATTAGTTGATATACCGGTCTTCACCGTAGGTTTTAAGAGCGTTCACCGGCTTTCACCGTTTGACCGATTAATCGTCACCGTTTCACCGGTCCAAGCGGTTATCGTTTCACCGGTTCACCGGCCCGAACGGTTCACCGTTTCACCGGTCCAAACGGTTATCGTTTCACCGGTTCCCCGGTCCAAGCGGTTATCGTTTCACCGGTTCACCGGTCCAAGCGGTTATCGGTTCACCTGTCCCAACGGTTATCGCTTCACCGGCTCACCGGTTTGCCGGTATAGCGATTAATGATCGTCACCGTTGCATTCCTAATCCTAACTAACAGTATGTGTACTGAACGATATTTCTAAAAACTGTTAGCTATATAAAATATATAAATTTAGTGAGAGTTTACATTTTTGCTCATTATTTTATAAATAAAAGATTAATATTTACTATGAACTACAGTCTGTAAAAAGATTGATAAAACACTCCTACATATAACGTCTGTTATTTTATATCGAATATTTTTGAAATAATGTATCTTTCGCTATTTATTACAATATTACTGTTATCTAACTCTATTGCTAATCATAATTTCTAACCAATCCAAACTGACTCATATCTGAATTTTTCTGAAACCGGTGAGGATCGACCGGTTCAGCAGTACCCACCAGTTTGGCTATAACTCTGGTTAAAATCTCTAGATGTTAACTCTCTCATATTGCTGTGAACCTACAGAATGTATTATACACATACCTGTAATGAATTTTGAAGGGTAAATGAAGCTAATTAAAAACTAATAATCAGTTATTTTAAAAAGATTTCTTTTTCTGCTAATTATTCTCAAAAAAATAAGCTCGTCGTCAAAACGGTCAATTAATCTGAATTTGAAATACACAGCAATGGTAACTCTTACACATGAAATGTATATAGTATATTTGAAAGATAGAATCTCAATCTGAATTACGATATAAGTTTTGATTTAACACAATACACAACACAAGTTTAGAATACATGAGTTATATAGTTAATTTATTTGTTAAATGAATAATAAGTTTACGAGATATTTAAGAATGTTTGCATAAGTGGTGCCATTTTATCCATAGCATTTGAGGCTAAAAAGCGTTGACGAAAATACTCTCGACTTTCTTTGGATACTATCTGCATTCGAAAGATTATAAGTAATAATTCATTAAAGTATTTGTAAGTATTTGTTTCGCCTTTTTTATTAATTAGATAGTTCCAAAGTAACTCTATATAATGATTTTGTGCTCGATAAACAGCTAATTCATCTTGTAAATATGGTTGTTCTTCATTCATTGACAAACCTTGACTGAAAATAAAAATTAACATAAGAAGAGATACTACTGTTGGATCTTGTTCAGTTATTTTAAAAAATGAAAGTATTACGTTGTAGAATCTTTCGTGAATACGCTCTTTAGTACCATATGGGTAAACAAATTTACAATGTTTTTCTTCACGTTCCTCGTCTTCGGATGAATGAAAATCATTTACTGATTTATGAATATAACATTTATATAATGGAAATACTGAATAAATATTAAATTTAATCAAAATAAATCGATCTTCATCATTTAATTTTTCGAATTCATCGATTTGACCAAAAAATTTAATAAATTGTAAAGTCATCTGACTGGCCCAATGTGACCATACAACAAGAGCAGAATCTGGATCAGTTACACCATTAGTGTCAGATGGCTGATTATTTTGAAAGTTTGATACAAATAACGATCGAATATTTTCAATTGTCAACCAATCATCAATAGGTAACGTTCTAAATAACATATCTTCTATTTCATTTAAATCATCATTTTCATGAAAAATGTTATTGTCATCTTTATTCACATCCATCAATAACTAAAAAATCAAACAATCATTTATATAATGATCAAATCTAATATTTTTACTCGATATCTCTTTCAAAAATTTCTACAGTTGTAATATTAATAATACTGGGAGGCTTACAAGAAACGTAGAATGTGTTTTTCGTTTAGATGTATATTTCTGTCATAAAATTAATATAAAACTTACACGATCAATATCATCCAATGGATCTGTGTAAGATCCTGACTTTGCTACAACATGTGCTGGTGGTGATGTTAATGATGAATTGGTAGATTCTGTTATAGATGAACGTTTCATTGAAATAGTTCGATTTTCTTCAAGACGTTGTTTTCTTCGTTGTTTCTCTTCTTCAGTACGAATAAAATCTTTTCTCATTCCTGCATTTAAACAACGATCTAATCTACATCGTGGACATTTCCGGAGTGAATCATGTGCAACTATACATTTTCTATGACCTGTAAGACATCGTAGTTTTTCCTACATAAAAATAAAAATAATAAAAATGAGGATTAAAATCAAATTCAAACTAACTAATGGTTGATTAGCACTTCGAAGGAAAAATGCTTTACATGAACCACAAGAAAGAACATTATAATTAAAACCAATGGCACGATCACCACAAATAGCACAATCCAAACCAAGCGATTTCTTTGAGAGTTTAACTTGTTTTGATCGGCCATGATGAGGTGAATTAAGGGCTCGTTTAAATATTTGATCATTTTTAGGGTTCTATAAATACATATTAAATAGTTTTAAATTAATTTAATTAAACTAAAATACGAACAAGTTCTGATAGTTCTGTAAGAATCGCCAAATCCATGATATTGTTAGCATTATTGTTCATTGATGTAACTTGCTCATTGTTATCCAAATCAACAATCTGAGTATTTTTCGGTTTGTTTAGAGAAAATTGCCGAATTACATCTTCGTTCGACGTTATAATTATCATTTTAGTTTCGCCAGCCATCATGTTTTTTTTCATGTTTCAATGACAAATTTCTTTTCTGTACCGCGATATTTCTCTTTTCTTCATCTTGTTATATGACGTTTTAAATAAAAAAAAAATGACAACAACAAACTATTACCGTCAGAAAGGAAAAAAAAGCAGGAAGGTAAAAAACAGAAAAATCTTATTTTTTTAAAGAAAAAGAGAAGAAC